GCAAAGCCATTTCTGACATGGTCCATTAACCCTAACCTTCCTCAATCCTTCACCTGTTGGAGGACTGAGGACTGTTAGGGTTAAACCACTTCGTGCTCAGCCATCTGTGGCAGAAATTTAGATTTCTGTGTGTCATAAAAAATCCGAGTCTGACATCATAATGAAAAAGATGATGGTTACCGGTTACCCAAATAACTAGACACATTCAAGAAAAAGATTTACATGTACGTGTATTTCTTTTTTTAAGGCACCCAGTATAATTTCTACATTGAGTTTCGGGTGTCATCCCCCCCAAAAAAAATCCAATTTCCATGGTCAATGCATCCAGATGGGCTGATATTTTCCGTTCATTAACAGGTACCAAGTGCAGGTGGGAATGCAAACCAGAATGAAAACCGTAACTTAGCTTAATTTTGCTTTTATTAGAAATACTTGTACATCATGATTTGGTCCGCATACGTGCACTTCGGGTCACAAATTTATTCCAAGTTTGCCACTGTAAAGCGCCAGCAAGGAACAATAATTTTTCACGCCTGGCCAAATTGTTCCTACATGTACATGTACTGTATGTCATATTAGGGTATATATTTTTGGCTTCAGAAAATCTATTTTTCTCCAAAACGGTGCAGTTTCCAGACCGAATTCTCCACAAATCCAGTCCTCCTTGACTTGTAAATACATGTACACGTAAACAGCAAAAATGACAGTGACCCGGTCACAGCAATTGCACCAAATGTAAATACACGTACATGTGTGCATTTGCGGCTGGTGTGTATACATGTACATGTATGCATTGGTTAAGGGATGTGAGGGTTCGTGAACTGACAGAAACACGGTTCAACACGCCCACACAAACAGGATATGTTTCCCCTTATTGCTTTACAGTGTCAACAGCCGATGTTTTCAACAGTTCAACAAGTGAGGACAGCCAACGATTTAGGCAACTTGTACAAAATGCGCCCTGAAATTTTGGTTTGATCGTGCAGTGCCGTTTTGTTTTTTTCGTCTTCAGAAAGTATGAGTTCCGGTGATCTGACACACGCCAGTTCATTTGAGGGGTTGACACGTACTGTGTGGTTTAAAAAAATGAAAAACTGAAAAGGAATGCATTACATACATGTACCAATATTAATGTGCCGTGAAAATGAAACAGAAAATCTCCAACTCATTCAGCAATTGGAGCTTCCTTGGTTGGAGACATGTACATGTACAGTACTGGTTATGTACACGTATTGGAAAACATACAGTGGAAGTCTTCTTTACATATACCATACAAACATTATACATGTATGATGTATGGTACATGTACATCTGCGGGTACTTGTTAATTTTTGGTCGCTTCATGTTCAGTTGTAGCCTTGTCAAGTCTTTGCAAGTCTCTGTAGTCCATCTAGCCATCCAGTCTATTAAGTTCAGTCATAAACGTTGCAACCATGCCATTTTTTGGCAAGTTACATGTACACTGTACGAGTCAGGTCCTGAGCCAATTTTCTCTAAGTCAAGTCACGAGCCATTTTTCTCCCAGTCGCATCAAGTACGGTGCAAGTCCATTATTCCCAAGTCTATTGGAAGTCAATTGAGAGTGCACTCTCAAAAAGGCACTTGCACACTTTCCCAGACAATCTTCACTGATGCTTTGACCTGTGATGTTTTGTGCAACAGGTCCGACCGATCTTCCTGTTTGCAAAGTTTCGATTAGACGAGTGAACGGACCTGCGTTTGACTTAAAATTTGCGAAAGTGGCTGCCATTATGTTCCTAATTGCTAAGTGGCAAACCCTGCACACGGGGCTGTGGCAGAAACTTGGCGAGAGCTCCCTCTATGGGGTACGCGCGCACCCACTCCAGTGGCACATGTCCATGTACGCTTTTGACCAGAATGCAATCATTACTTGCATTCTTTAGCTGCACGTTAGGTTGAGCATGTGAGCTGTGCATTTAGTCCCATTGTTTCGACCTGTGAAATTGCTTTGGAAAGTAATTCCCTGCTTTCAGTTTGAAGGTCTCTTTTTCTTTGGCTTTCCGCCTTATCTTTATTTGATTTACAATGTAGTGTCATGACCATGCATCGCTGTATTTCTCCATTCGTGGCTCGTGCCAACTGCAGTTTCACTACTCCTGGAAGGAGCCAAACTTTCCATCGGAATCTTTTGTACCAGGGTGTAAAGGCACAAGATAAATGGCCTAAAAAAGGCTTTTGACCACTGAGATTCAAGTATTATGCACCTACATCACATTACTGTATCACTGCCCTTTGCACTGTCTACTGCTATCCCTAATGCGAGGAATTTGACTTTTTCGACGGAATGTTTTGTACTTGCCAAACATTAAGACACGAAGAGCACAGGCAAAGAAAGCAAACATTGTGTAAGTACAGTGAGATCCGAGTGTCACACATGTTGCACAGAGCAGAATTATCATACTGTGGTTTTAGATGTACATGTAGTTTTACCACATGCTGTAATGGTTGCAACTGAAGGCCTCTGACAAGTTTTTTGTCAGAGTGTTTTTGTGCACGCACCTGCCAGGCGTTCAGGCAGGAGGAGCAGAGAAGGTGGCCGCACGGCTCCAGCCGGATGTCCTTGTTGTTCTCCGTACAGATCTTGCAGAGCTGGAAGGTGGAGCCCATCTCGCAGTAGAGGGCGTACTGGTCCTGGGAGACGTGGATGTGCTCCTCCATGGGCTTGGTGTTGATGGAGGTCAGGTCAGGGTTGTCGTCTGCGCCGTCCGGGTATAAGTAGCTAGAGGGAAAAGGCGGGGTTGGAATTTGGACCGCAAAATAATCCCTGTGAACAATAGCTGGACCAACTTTTAACGCTATTCAGCGTTCCAAAGGAAAGTTGAAAAACCAAATTCCGTGACTTTTCCAGGACTAAAATAGGGCAAATTCAATGACAGTTAACACTGTCCTGTTTGGTATTAACCCTAACACTCCTCAGTCCTCCAACAGGTGAAGGATTGAGGTGGGTTAGGGTTAAGGATGAAAGCGGAGATATTCACTATGGACAGACTGGGACAACCTGTCAAATATATTGATCACTGTTCCACTGACACATCAAATGTGGCCCATCAAAAATAGCCCTCGCCAGATCTTGGTTTCTATGACTTTTCCAGGGCTTATTTTTTTGACAACAGAATTTCAGGACATCTTATTTTTTTAGTCATAATAACATCAAAGCAATTCAACGGCACTGATATGGGTAATTCCAGAAATTAGAGGTCCATTTTTTTTTCATGTCCCTGTCAAATCTAACATATGAATTTGTAAATTCAGAATGCATTTTCTTATTTCCAAGAGTGATGAATTAATGCAAATTACCTGCCAAACAAATAGTAATAGTGTGAAATCAATTCCGGTGTTATTTCCAAGTCAAAGAACAAGGTCAGATGTAACAGGGACACGAAAACGTCACGTACATGTATATGTACTATACATGCACTGTTGGACCCATAATTTCTGGTACATGTGTTACCCATATCAGACGCAAGCGGCTAAACAACACCTTGACTGCCCTCCCAGGTACCCAGGGTGAAGAGAGGCATATAGGGGTAACTAACAGTGACTTCCCAGATCACAACATGCTCCAGTGAGCTTGATTCGAACCCCTGACCCTATGATCTGAAGCTACAAAGCCTCGCCACTAGGCTACATGAACCGGTACTGATACATGCCCCTATAGAGTGGAGGGCGGCACGTAGGGGTACAGTGACTTGCCCAAGATCACACGATGCTGCCATCACATGGATTCACGCCCCCACCCTGTGATCCGAAGATACAAAGCCTGGCCACTCCACTAGCAGTAGGTTACATGTACTGATACATGCCCCTATGGGGTGGAGGGCGGCACGTAGGGTACAGTGACTTGCCCCAGATCACACGATGCTGCCATAACATGGATTCACTCCCCCTACCATATGATCTGAAGATACAAACTCTAACAAACGGGCCACATGCTCCCAACATGTGTTTATGCGTTTATGGTCGTGACTTACAATCCCTCGCGGTTGCCGTCGATGAGGGCCTCGCAGAGAGACTTGTTCTGGGGGATGGTCTGCAGGATGCTGCCATCTTGCGTGACGTAGCCGATGGCCCACTGGCCCAGACGAGTACAGCTCAGTCGGAAGATGTAGCTGAAAAGGGAAATGTACAAGACAGCAGGACTTTAAAGCCTGTCCACGTAGAGGGCCAAAGTCCTGAAAGTGTAAAATCTCATTGTCAGTAGCCACGGTAGTGGCTTCGGTCGACCCAAAAGTCGCTTTACCACGTCCGGTGCTTTTGTGATGGACAATTCAGCCGACTGGCCTACATGTATGCGTAAAAAAACAGCACCGTGGAAACCGATGTCTCACTTCAGTGTACTGTCGGTTACCCCCTTTAGTTAATATGAATACCTCAACTCCCAGTTCTGGACATGTGTATGCTTGGTTTACCATTGTGCAATCGTGTGACATTGCGTGAATACCAGGTATGTTTCCCCAATTGAGTGGAAAGGTATGAAAATGACTTCCCAACTGTGTAAAGATGTTGAACCTGCACTTGCTTGAAAAGGCATGAATTTTTTTCCCTGTGCTTGCATGAAAGGCAAATTTATGTTGACTCCCGCCTGTGAGAAAAAGTTGTAAAATGTTCCCCGCTGTGGGAATTTTGTGACGCATGTATGAAAATGAACGTTCCCGAAAGAGAGAAAAGTGTCAAAAGAATTCCCAGTTCCTGGGTTGAGTCTGACTTGGAATGTACACGTACACAGCAAGTGTCGTGAGCACATAAGAAACCACAGTATGATTCAATCTATCCCGACAATGTACATGTACCTGTACGTACGTACATGTATGTACCCGGTACAGGATATGTACATGTATGTTCACATACATGTACTGTATGCATGGTATACGTATACGTGAAGGAAAATAAAATTATCTAGTAACAGCCAGTGCTAGGTACAAGTAATATCGCTCACATGACAGTTACTCTACATGTACATGTATACATGTATGTACCATGTGTCGCGGCCAGTTCAGTACTGTACCATGTACATGTATACCGGTGAATTTACATGTACACGTATACAATTGACCCAAGTACCTGTACATGTACCGTACATACACTGACATAAGCATGCACATGTGTACATAGATGTACATGTAGACATGTACAGTGTATATGTACCATAAACAGATAAATGAATTCCCACTTCGTTAATTCATACAATGTATGCATGGTCCTGCGGTTCCACGTGATATTCCGTACATGTCCTATGTACATGTACAATGTACCAGTACCTTTCAATCTGGGTTTTTTTGGTTGTTTTTTTTAGGCGGGGGTTGAAATTGTTTTGGGCAATTTAAAAACTATTATTACAGTTCTTGTGTTTTATCCATGTTTTACCAACGCATGCACATTACAATGTACATCAACTACATGTACATGTCCGGTACTTAGAAATGATTTTTTGTATTTGTTTGTACAACTGTATGCACCTACCTGCATGTAAAAAGTCTTTGGACTGTATGTAAGAAAAAAAAGTTGTTGTTTTTTTCATTTGCATCCACAAAAAAAAATTCGGGGAGTAAATGCAAGAAAGATTTGTCTCAAAATAAGATTTCTTTTCCCTATGGTACCATGTTTACAAAATGTAGCATTGTGACGTACAGTGTACTGTATATACATTTCCATAGATCGTTGTACTTTTTTGTTAGTTTTACCGGAGCTTTATTTCCCCTCAATAGACTTCATGTACACGCACCGCTATTCCCTAAAACTGGCTACTTGATCCCCACTCTCAAAGAGAAAGGAAGTTTTGATTTCAAACTTCTCCCTGACGTCAAGCACCATTAAGTGCCTGCTGGCATGGTTTGTACAACGTTCCTGGAAAAGGACACAATGGGTCAAGACCCAAAAGCGCTAAATATAGGCCCAACTTCAACGGCCTCCTTTCACCGCCCATTGGCAAACCAACTTTCAATACAGTCTTTCCGTTTTTCACCTAAAATCTCATACATGCACACATGTGTGCTACCGTATCAGGTGAAAGCAGCACTTACAGTATACCCGGAAATCACTCGACACTGTCCCTTTCATTTAAGGGTATGGTGTAAAGTTTCACATTTGGAAAGAAACATCTTGAGAAAAAAATCCATCCAGTAAAATTTCATGAAATATGCTTTGTGTTTGCATGTAAGTGGATATATGTACTTGTGAAGGAAAGTATCTGTACATGTGGCACCTGTTACATGTACATGTATACAGTGGGCGCTGCAATCATGGCAATGGATTCTGAGTCAGAATTTTGGGGGGGGATGGCAAAGGTACTGTTAGGGGCCCCAAAATTGGGAAACAAGCAACCTTTTATGGCCTATATCTGAGGGGTGAGGCTTTATTGGCATCGATGGAGGGGTTTGTACACACTTTTGGAAAGAGCGAAGTGAAGAAGACCAAAAGTAATAATCTTCCATTTTCTTGTTTTCCAAAAACAAACACTTTTCAAGGGGGCGGGGCATGGCCCCTGTTCCCCTCTCCATCCACCAGTTAGACCACATTCCGGATAAATATACACACGTACATGTGCATGTGTACATGTACATGTGTACATATACATGTATGCAGCAGTATCTGTGCAATGTACATGTACGTGCACATCAAATGTGCTGTTGGGGCAAACAATTTACATACCGGTACATGTACACCTGGTTGAACACAAACAAATTTCCTCAAATTTCCCTCATCCCTTCCCTCATGCATACGCAACTCTTCTTTCCATGAGGATTGACAAGATTTGTATTTATTAAACATTCACATGGATAGTGCCACTTTCTGTTTTGTTGGTCACATCTCATAGTCACAGTGGACCATTTTCTGAAGTGTTTTCAAACCGCCATTTGGGGGTACATCTGCAGGTAGTCGTACATTTTCCACAAAATTATTTGTCAGAAATATTGATACACTGTACATGTACCGTACATGTATTTAGAACAATGATAAATGTCCCTGAGTATTTCAATTGAAGTACATGTACATGTACTGTACACACTATGACCATGAAGTTGAGTTACAATTTGTCTGATTTCTTGAAAAAAAAGGTTGGCAAAACTGTGCGAGAGATTGTCAACGGTAACAGAATGAAGACAGCCAAACTTTTCTCCTCATTTTCCGTCAATTTTGTGCTCTTTTTTCATGGCTTGTATTTTTTAAAAAGTTATTTCTTAGGTGCTTTAGAATATCAATTGAAAAATATACTGAATTCTCCTTGTTGTTGAGAGAGGTTTTGAAATACATGTACTTTGACGTAAAACTTCAAACGAATTAAACTCCATTTCATCGGGGTACATGTACATGTAAATGTATATTATAGCATTAGTCTACACTCAGTGCAGTTAACAATTTACAGATCGACCAGGGTTGTTATCACTGACTCTTTGATTTCTTTTTCAGAATATTTCTCAAGGCCTATAGATATCATTTTCTTTTCCTGGTTTGAAAGCCAGCTGCAAAATGTGGTACAGTGTGCACAGTAAGGGCGCTGATGGAGTGGACAGCACACAAGAACATCTGTCACTGAGGAATACCATATGCATGAATGACACCAAAGGGATGGGGGGCATTTTGGGGATTCAGTTCTTCGGAAATAATGATAAAAACAGAAAAAAGAGACCAGTGCATACAGTACATGTACATTGTACATGTGGATGGCTGAATTAGCTCTTCACATTTTCATGAAAATTTGACATCCCAAGCACAAGTACGAGTACAATACACGTGCATGGAAACACTGATCTTACCAATTTTCAAGGAAAGTCAATTTAATCAATGTACATGTACAATGCACTTGTAGAGGAAAACGTGATTTTCTACCTCGGACGAATTTCTCAATGCTCAGTCCTATTGGACTGTGTTCGCATTAGACCCTATTTCAATCACATTCCCCCAATAAACCAGTACATGTACATGTACATACACACCAGTAGTTATTTTGAAAGGGTCATTTAAAAATGTTAACATTAAAGAACCAGACTTTAATCTATGATTTCATTCCGACCACCAAAAATCACCTGGTGCCATCAAATTACATGTATGTGTATACCGGTACAAGACTACTTTTACATGTACATTACGAATTGTACATGTACATTATGTAAAAGTTTAATTGTCCATACATGTACAGTGTACATGTACATGTACAAGTACAATGTATGTGTATTTTGAATAAACAATGTTTGACTCAAGTAAACAAGGAAGTCCAGTGTACATGTACTTCACAAAAACCTGTAATATCCATGTACGGATCAGATTAATACTAAATTGGGGGTTAGAATTTATTTCCTGAACTGAAGAGCAATGACTTTATTACACATCTGTCTGATGAAATGTGGGGAGTCATGACTGCTAAACGGTTTCTATCTGAAACATGGATGACCGTGTCCATCCTTCATCTTGATCCCAGTTGACGTTAATGACGTTTCAAACATCAACATTTTTGAGGGACGCGAACAACCTCTAAATCCTAGCCAACTAATAATTAACCGAAAATAATCATTTCAGCTGTAAATTTTGAAGATAATTGTACCAATTGGAAATGTAAAAGATATTTTAAATATGTACAAAGATAATTGTAAAAGATGATATTTTAAAATCGTCATCACGAATTAAATATATGCCTCCCAGATTATCGACCATGTCAACCAAGAATCGGCCAGTCGGCAGTTTGCTACCCCCAATATGTTTGAAACTTACATGTACACATGTACATCCCCATACAAACACTCCTTATCTTTACAAATGTGAAGTCTGAACTCAATCAAACGCAGGTTTTGTTTCTGTCATTCGAAGTTCATGGCTATGTGCATGCCATTTTGGGTGCACTGAGTACTGCAATGGAAAAATATCCCTTTTTGTCTGACCCCTCTCAGAAAAATGTGCGCAGCGCAAGAACGGAAAGTTTGATTTTTGCAAAAATGGTGTCCAAATTACTGCAAAGATATACTCTAAACCCTCCTAGAAACCTCAACTCCTCATAAAAATGCACTGCAGCGATACAGAAAAAAAGTTGGGGGGATACCCCCGGCTCTTTCAGGGTTAAGGAAAGAGTTCAAGAAAGGACCCCAAACCAACTTAAAGTGCAATGCACCGGTACCTCATTTTCATCTAGTACCGAGATGTTTCCATAAAACCCGGTCCAAAGGACCAATGATGATGACTTCTAGACTTTCCTTCCGACTACAAGCATGTATTCTCTGGCATGGAAGAAATGATTGGCAGGGATCATTTTTTGGTAAGCTGAGGTGGGAACAATACTTCGACCGCTTGGTAAATTGAGCTTTTCAAAATTGCGCTTGCGCAGTTCGGCCCCACTAGAACGTCCCCAGCTGACTTCATTGTGTATTTATTCTTCAAATCTAACCGTTGCTCACATCTCACTGTTGGCTGCAGCTCAAGCAGCATTCAATGTCAATGACATATTATACGGTACAATTATTTTTAGACAAATGGTTCCCTCCAAGGAAATCAGCTGATGATAGCCAGAGGTGCAACCATGCCCAAGGGCCTGGTTCCAAACGGCTGACTACCAGAAGGATGTCAAAACCATTCATTGTTGAACCCGACCCCTTTTCTGGTGCCACGAAGAAAGTTTAAAAAGGCATTCATGCCTGGCGCAGCCCATGCTAAATACGCATATAGATGCAGTGGCAGCTTTTGAAGGAGAGGAAGGAGACGTGGGGACGTGTACATGTGCGTTGTATTCAAGTCACAAGTCCTTTCACAAGGTCAGCAATAAGTAACAGGGTCAGCAATGACAAAAGAAAGCTTTTGTCACAACTCATTTACATACATGTAGCTTGCGAATTGGCTCAAGACCGAATGACTTGTGATGGACTTACGGGGACTTTTGAATACCACACTGGTGTACACAGCCCGACTGCCTACACAACAAATAAATTTTAAATTGGCTGCCTTGCATTTACACTGTGACCAAGGGTTCCGCACTGCATGCTCACAATTGACCCTCCAAGTTTATGCTTCTCCCCTCCTTTCCCGTAACCCTGGATCGACCCGTTGGGATGCGCGCGCTGAGCCAGCGCTTGCTGCTTTTGTTTACCTCCCCGGCTTGCTGATGAACGCCTGCAGGCGGTTCTTGACCTCGTCATAGGTCATGAAGGACATGTAGCCCCTGTGGTTGACGGCCAGGCAGTTCCAGTTGCGCAGGATGGTGTTCCAGGGCTGGAAGAGACGGGTGAAGACGTCAAACTCAAAGTTGGAGACGTAGTCGTTGCAGGTGAGATCGATGGTGGTCTTGAGGGCGTAGGCTTCCAGGCCCTTCTGGAAGCTGTGGACCTCGTAGAGACTTTGGCTGAAGGACTTCCAGGAAACAATGGTACTGGAAAACACAAAAGACAAGGAGTGGTGACTTCGTGAANGCTTTCCATTAAACAAATATTGTACTTGTTCAAGTTTCATTTCACGTAATCATTGTTCGTCCTCCAAATTTCTCCAAGAGGTTTTGGAGGATTTCAATGTCTGTTTGCCAAGAAAGAAATGAGGCTAATTTTGGTGGCATGGGTGGCATAATGGTCCTGGGGTCCATTCCCTGCCTGGACCATGAATAGAGTGGTTCATTGGTTCTCTCCCACGCCACAAGGCCTTTTCTCCAGGGCCTCTGGTTTTCCTTCCTCTGCCATGCTCAGAGGTCAACCATGGGTCATCTGGCAGCTAACTAAGGTATTTTCACATGCCTTTGGCTCAACCTTGTAGTGACAGCATCCTTCCTAATTCAGCATTGCAGCTGTAAAAATAATTTGCACCACCCCATCCACCCCAATGACCTTGAAGGACACAAAGTGTCAAAATCTCAGTCTGGACTTTGTCTTGTTTATACTCAGCTGTGGACAAATTCAGGCCAAGATTATGGGCCTACTTGAAATCACCCGTGCTGCTCAGGGATATCACTGACAAGGATTTTCAAGGACTGCAGCACTCAACACTGGTCAGCCCTCTGAGAAGCACATTCCAAAAACTAATGGAATCTTTTGGAGGACTGAGGTAGTACTCTAATGCAGGCCTGTAAAACCTGGAGGCAGTTGGAAAATTTGGAAGAAATACACTGTACATGATGCATCATTACGAACATGGCCTACAGGCAGAACAGGTACAGGGTCACTGTGTTTCTTTCTTGGGCAGTGACACCAGAAGTCAAGTCTGTATACTGCCGAAATGTAGCCAATCACTGGGAAAGGTACATGTAAATTCACTTCATACTTGTTCCTCTTTCCAGGGAATTCATTTTCACTTCACAAAATGTGACATACTTTTTCAACAATGGGAGAAAATTTTCCCACAGGCAGAATAAGATTTTCACCGAAACATACATGTACATGTACATTGTACGCAAACTGAAAACGTGTACATGTACTGTAGGCATGGTAGGCCAGTATGTGATGGTATACGGTACACGGTACATGTACACTGTACTTGTACCTTGCACCTGCTTTTACAACGTACGTTTTTTGTACATGTAAGCGGAACAGTTCCACAATCTGTCATTTATAGACACTTCAGTGGAATTTTATAGGATTCACTGACTACATGTAAAAACTGATCAAGTTTGAGTTCCCCCCCTCCCCACCGAGGTACACACCGGTGGTGATGGTTGGCATTACCCTGAAGTCCTCATCGGCACCCATCACCCACACTGTACATTCCAGCGTATACATGTACAGTGTACATGTACGTTCATGCACCAGTACAGTATGCAGTCAGCACGGTACCGATGAAGCCCAAGGAAAGTGAATTCATTTTGGGTTCATTGTGTAAATTACAAAAATTGTGTCTGACACAAGACTGATAAAACTTCAGATTCCGTGACGTTTGGGATGAGCACTGTGACGGTGCTAAATTGGCAATGCGCACATTCTGCAATTTCCAGCGCAAAACATGTCATTTACGCTGTGTCACTACAAATGTCGTGAAGCAGAAGTACTCACTGGCACTCGTGAGCCCTTTCACAAGTCCTTGCAAAGCATTTCAGAAAGGATTTGTTATGGACTGAACAAATAAAAACTCATACATGTACATGTACAGTACCATGTATGCATGTATCTGTATATGACGTTACATGTACATGTACCGGTAGGCTGCAGGTGTCGAAAATATCTTTATCAGCGTGTAGTATACACGTCCTCAATCCTATAAAATCCTCTACAATCTTCTTACTGAATTTCAAAGGGTCAAGATTAATCAGGGTATACATGTACATTGAAGCAAGAAAAGTACAGGAATGTTTCTTACCCATATCAGTAGACCAACAACACTAGGTTTACTGTGCATGTGTACATTTTAAACTCAGTCACAGTTAAATTTAACATGATTGAGGAAACTCCAGGTACTAAAACTAAATTCAAAACTTTATCAACCTCCGGTCCCCTTCCCCCCATTCTTCTAGACCCCTTGTCCCGGCGAGTTTGCCACGAGTGCACGAGTCATAAAGATTCAACATGTTCAATGGGATTTATCACCGAAGTTCATCGCTGAATCAATTTGCTCGGTTTACCAATTTACCCAGATACTTGACACTGTTCGATGAACAACAAAAAAAAAAAAAAAAGATTTCAGACAAGATCAAACAAAAAGCACATATTGAAAAAAGCAGGAGAGGCCCACTGTTGAACCCAAGCTCATTTTTGAGGCCAAAAAAACCACTGATGGTCCACCCATACTATCAGTACGGTACGTGACTTACATGTACTTAAAGTACATGTCTTGTGAAATGCATGTGTGCCTAAATACACACGTGTAAATGCCATTAACCATGCACTGGGCATTATTCCTCAAATCACCAAGGCACCAGCAGTGAATCAGTTTCCCTGTGCTTAGCATTCCATGTTGATGCCAAACTGTGCAACGTCATACATTTTGTATTAAATATAAAACTGCCATAGAGATCCTTGTCATTTGATTGGTGTAACATGCATCATGTAACATTCATTATTCCTGCCAATCATGCTGCGTCAGGTACTATTCGCCCATGTGCAGCTGGTAAAAAATACACAATGGTTAGGATCCTCTGATCATCCTTGTTTCCACGGCATACATGTATGAATGGCCTCGTCCTTCAAAAGGCAGCGCAAACGCAACATGCAGCAAGAGCGCAACACGCAGCAAGAGCGCAACACGCAGCAAAAGCGCAACACATAGCGCTGATCGAAACCTAGGGCATGTGGGGAGAATAAATTCGATCAAAAAGGTATTGGGTTATGAAGTTGTTTGGAGTTGATTCAAAAATAAATTCAATGACAAGGATCTAGATCCGGTACGACAGATAAAACAAATAATGAATGTTTTTTCACTCCCACGATGGTTGGAATATTTTCATTCTTTGAAAGATATCAAATGTTCCAGTGACTCATGAAAATATTCTTACCATTGCACTATAAACGTTCATTATTTGTACACCATTATTTCCTTTTCAATTCTCAACATTTGCAGCGAGAATGTACAATGTACATGTATGTACCGTACTGTAGGTACCAGTACAGCACTTGGAATCGATCTCCTCTGGAGCTGTGGTGGTTCAGAGATGACCCAGCAGGTGGGAACTCGGCAATTTCAAGTCAGAGCATCGCATTCAGAACGTTGAGTTCCCAGTTCCCCCCGAATAAAGAGCTCAAGAAAATCACAAAATGTTCAAAGGAGTGTCCAGAGTGGGCAGAAATTGGGCATTTTCCCCTGACAGAGTTTCTTCACACAACTTCAGGAACACCCAGTTACCGGTAGTATGGTGTAAGCCTTCAGAGGTTTACCAGTTACACATTCATGGCATATTTTGGCACATGTGCAAAATCTACAGGTACATTAATATACAACTTCTTTTTGTACATGGGTAATTCCAGAAATACACATGTAAGGGGTCCAAAAGTGTGACATTTTCGTCTCCCTGTTACCCGGTACATCTAACCTTTGTTATTTGAACTGGAAATATCACCGGATATTACCACTTGTATTTGTTTGGCAGGTAATTTGCATTAATTCATCACTCTTGGAAATTAGAAAATGTGTTCTAAAATTACAGTATCATACATGTCAGATGTGACAGGGACACGAAAATGAACCCCTAATTTCTGGAATTACCCACATGTACATGAATGTTTAACCACGGTCAAACATGTACGTACATGTACCGTATGTACATGTAGAGAGGGAATTTTTATTGGTCGCGAATTCATCATGTAATATACACGTACTCCAAGCACTCGTGTATCACTTACGCATCGCGTGCATTGGTGATGTTGCCGGGCTACAAAAAATGGTGGATAAAAGTGAGCTTTCCCACAGTTGATGTATCGGGCCCACTGCGTTATAAAATTGTTTAATCTTGAGCACAAAAATGGATAGCCGCAGTCATGGCAGTGGTACTGTGCATTAATTACTGGAGGAGACATGCTGTGTGCGGGGATTTAAGTACTGTGTGCATTTGCTCTCTGACTCTCTCTTCACTCTGACCATGACGGAGACCAGGTTATTAGACTTCTGTTCGTGCACCCAGCTTTGCTGGTGGAATACCTGTATGCTCTGATCATGAACTGTTTCTGCTCCGATCACCATCATTTATGTACATTGTAATATGCTCATTCATGTAAACCCTAGATTTCCCCCTTCCCCCCTAAAAATGAAAAAAAAAACCAAAAAACGCAGCTCAATAAAGGACACCACAATCAATCCTTGTAATTTAATACCGGTACTTAATTTGCTATTCAAGTGTTTAAAATTTATCTTGCTATACAATATGCACAATGTATACATGTACATTGCATTTAGAGTGTGCCAGTTCAATCTATGACTTTGGAGGGTTATTCCAGAAATAAGAGGTCCAAAAGTGTGACATTTCCGTGTCCCTGTTACATCCGACCTTTGTTATTTCAACTGGAAATATCACCGGAATTGATTTCAACTATTAATTTTACATGTAGGTATTTGTTAGGCAGGTACCGTAATTTTCATTAATAATTCATCACTTTTGGAAATTAAAACATGTGTTCTGAAGTTACAATATCATAATGTCAGATATGACAGGGACACAAAAAAATGGACTCCTAATTTCTGGAAAAATTGTACCCTTGTACTGTACATGTACCAGTATTTAACAAAACAGTTGTTGGCTGCTGTGATGGGGTCCATGGGTTTTGTACACCCAAGGGGGCAAATTACACTTGAGGCAAAGCCAAGAGTATGCCCTTTGCCCCCTCTGGTGTAAAAAAAACACCATGGACCCCTACACTGCAGGTATTTTGGTAAACTTGTTATGTACATGTACCAGTACTGTTTCTGCTCAGGCCCTGTGGATGTGCCTACTGTGGTTATTAGACTGGCTGTGCGGATGGGCCCTCTAACAAGATTACAAGAAGTCCACATAATGCAGGTTGTGTGAACCTTGCGAGGACTACGCCACGTCCACACCCGGCTATACCCCTCTTTCTGGAAAACTGGTTTAGAGATATTTTGGGGTCAGTGGTACAGTGTATCTGTCGCAAAAACAATGAAGAATAGTCAAGGATCATCAAAAATCTACATGCACATGTAGCTCGACAAAGCAGCAACTGGTACAGTGTATTCGCAGTTAAAGAAAAGGAGTTTTCTATCCGCACAAGGTACCGGGTAGACCTTTTTCCTGTTATGTCACAATCGTGCTGGACCTCTGATGTGTTGTGATGGTAATGAGTGCATAGTGTTGTGATGGTAATCTTCCTATTCAAGATAAACTAGTCAAGCATGCAGCGTTCACACGTGCGCTTCTACGTGGTTAAGCTGTATATGCGATCACCGTGGCCACGGGGTCCATACGTGGTGGTATAGGTGGGGAGTCAGGTTGGCAAGGTAGTTCTTTCCTCGCCTTCCACCTCTATGGTCCCGGGTTCGATTTCCCGCCCGGTCCACATGTGGATTGGGTTTTTAGTCCCTACCTGACTCCATGGGTTTTACCCAGAATATTCCTCTGGGGTTTTCCTCCCACCTCTAAAACTGTAACTGCTTCTTACTGTCTCCCCTTTACTGATGTTGGTGAATGTGGGTCGTTTGGCGGCTGCCTGAGGCGCCCTTGTATGCCATCGGCTCAACCATGTTTAAATGTATTCATTGTTCCATGCTTAATGTCTTCATTGTATGGCACATTTGAACATACCTACATGTATATGAAATTTCCACTTTATAAACGAATAAATAATTAGTATTATAGCTTACATTCAGTTGCGTGGGTGAAAAAATTCTATACATGTACATGTACGTATACCAGTACCGTTTCAACTACAGTACTACAGTACACAATGTGTATGCATGTTAATATACCATATATGTGCAGAAATATGCACATGTTCACAATCACATATACAATTTCAAAAATTTAAATTTACAATGTACCGGTACAATGTACGAGTACATGTACGTATGAACATGTACATGTACCGGTACATTAATTACGTATCCTGCAAATACCTGTTGGTATTAGATTGAAGATGATTTCCTCAAAGTATCTGCATGATTAAGCATGTTTTGTGACAACTGAAAACAGTTAACTGCATATATACACGTGTACACTGTAGGCCTACACCGGTGCACGTACAAAACTACATGTGTACGGGGTACAACCAAACTGCATGTACATGTAACAGTGTTGTGCAGAAACAAAATACTGTACATGTGCTGTTGGTTTCCTGCACGAAGAGGTCATAATTCGGCGAATTCAGGAAGGTTGGTCACTAACGTAACATGTACACGTACTTAAAATACATGTAGAGAACTCTAGTAAATGAAGGTTGTTACATACATGTAGAAACACCCTTTGCTATGGTGGCCCTGAGGGGACATCAGCAGTCGTCAATGCCGATGTCCATATTCAGGTCCGAAATTCATGACTCACCTTCTGAGATGCACATATTGATAGATTTTGTTCTTTTTTTGTGACATCCAGGTACCGTTTATATGTACCGGTACATGTACCAGGCAGAGCATGTGACCACATTGATAATGTCATGTGATCTATGAATAGGAGCCGGGGTTGTGAGCGGGGGTTGTCGAGCGGATGTCATTTCATTTCATTTTTCAGGATACACTAACGAAGACATTCTATTAAATACCAGGTACATAAACATTGGAAACAAAACATGAAGGGCACAAAACAAGTATTTAACCGCTGAATTGCCAACAAGATATGTGTAGTTTCTGTCGAGGGACTCTCCAACCACGCTAACTGGTTAAATGTGAAACAGGAAATTTCCTAATTAAAATTAGGAAAATTATAAACGCAAAAACTTCAGGGAAAAAAAACCAATATTAACATAACATACGAGTAACATAAAAACTAATGTAAAAACATTAACCAAATTATTTCAATTAATAAATTTGTCCACTTCTTGCCTAGCCTGCCCCCCAAAAAGTTTTCAATAAAGTTAATTTTAAAAAGGCAACATTTGCCGCCTGGAATGCCCGGAGAGCAAGATGTGAATGCTGGAAACTGCTGAATTCCGTATTTGCGACCCACACAGCACATCATGAGTGTTTGTCAATATTGATGATTGGCTGTGTCCCTTCAGAGCCACCGTAAGAAATGCCAAATGGACTGGTTTCAGACAGAACATTTCCATTATCCTCCCAGTCCTCACAACATAAATTATACCCGGTACCATACTGGCACGACATTGGACTTTGGGGAAGGGTCTGCTTAAGGACACACATCAACTGATAGTTTAACTCCATGCCTGATGATCAACTTTAAATGCTGGGCGTAAACATCAGTCCATCAGCACGATTGCATAATTGCATCAGTCAATCCTATATGAAATGTCCGACTTTTCTATCCCTTTTTAGAAGCAATCGTCCACAACCGTGAGGTACATGTACATGCATGTTTACGTACAATAAGTACTAGGCAATTGGCTGATGGAGAATTATCGGCAATAAAATCGGAAGATTGCCCAAAGATCGAGCGACAGTGCAAGATGAACCAATGAACGTCCAACATGGCGAGCGCATTGTACACATGTATGCATGTACATGTACAAGTATCTAAAACAGCAAGGAAAACTTGCAAACAGTTATACACATGTAAATTTACAAAAACTTCTTTTCATGTTGTACTGTAGATGGAAATTCACGATTGCAGATCCTGAACAGACATGATATGGACCCAAACAAAAAACTGCTGAACAATTCCTGAAAGCAAGATATAGAATTTGACATGAATTCTGTTAAAATAAAAAAAAGACAGATTTTGTTCAACAGTGCCACGAGCAAAATTTACTGTCAAGCACTGCACTGTAATGTACATGTACATGCACATGGTACCGTGCTACCGGTAGGCCTACATGTACATGTACACGTAAATTTACACTGTTGGCCTACAAGTGCTTCAATTCAGAAACAATGGAGAAAAAAATCAATGAATTCTAGCCAGCTGGATGACGGATCATTATTACAATAAATACACACCTATGAATGACTGGAATTAATCTCCAAATTGGAAATCAATGGTTTATGAACAAATTGTGAAAATGATAAAACTACATGTACATATAATGATACAGCAGTCACAGGGTAAATGCAGGAATTTTTGACCAGGAGGAGAATTCGACCAACTGCATTCAGAAACAATACAGCTGGTCAAATTTCTGGCTTTTTTTTACATGTATACCCCAACCTTTACCCAACATGTAGGCCTACATGTACAGTACAATGTTGGCCTATGTATGATTTCCATTAAAATTACAATTCCAATGTACATTTACTGTATCTATTTAGACACCCTGTGGAAGGTTGTGAAAGCAATATTTGAAAATATGAGATCAGGAGAGCTTTTTTTGTGATGGCTCACAAATCCCAACACGTAAGTATCACATTTCATCCACACAGAAAAAAACAGCAACTTGCCAAGATGGAAAGTAATGTGTGCACGCACGGAGTCTTTCCGACAACTCATTTCCGGTATTGTGAGAATGAATGTCGGCATTAAACATGTTAAAGGTGGTGTCACCCACCAATAGGTTCGGTCATGGGCCAGGGATAATGACAAATCATTTGAGGGGGTCGGTTCTTGGCAGTGACCTCACCTTGTTCCGAAGTTTTTCTTCCAGTACTTTGCGGCATCCTGTTTGGTTATGCGGAAGCTTTCCCCGGAGAAAACCCCGCTGGGGAAGATCGCCTTCAGCTCGGCCAGGTTGTGGCTGAAGATGAGCGACAGGCGGTTCAGCTCGCGCCGGCCCGTCGAGTTTTCGTCGTACATCTTCTCCTTGTGGACCTTGAAGAGCTGAATGGTCTGCCGAGCCTTCTTCATGATGTTGTCCACGAAAATGCGAAAGTAGAGGTTGTCGTTGAGTTCGTGGAGCTTGTCCGGGTCGCCCTCGTACTTGGACCAGATCAGGCGGAGCTGGTGGTAGGTCTCGGGGAGAATGTCCAGAATGTACGGCGGACTGTTCTTCAACTTCATCTTGTTGTGCTGACACAAACGCATCACCTTTTCCATCAGTTTCCACGTCTTCTCCAGGGTCTTCCGGTCCACGGCGGGCCGCGGGGCGGCCATCAGGTCCGCCACTCGCGAGAAAAACCCCGGCTTTCGCCCACCAGGTTGGGCCATTTTGACGGTAAATCTCGGAGTCCGATCGCCTCTCTGCCTCCGCTCAGGTTTTTTGCTGCTCTCGCTTCCGCATAATTTTCTGCACTGTGGATATAGCTTACCACAGTCCTCAACCGTTTGATAAAAACATTTCCCACAAGCCTTTGCGTAACTAACTTGAACAACCCTATTTAATCATTTGGTCACCTCTAGATACATAAAACAAACATAAAACTATTTTTACTTTCAATTATGTAATAGAATAGTCCATTTAGGCGTTTTTAATTTCCCTTAAAAGGAAGTTTGATCTTCATTTTTTGCGATGTTTTGATTGTTGTCAGTCACAGCACTTCCGGTACACGAACACGTCATCGAGCAATATGGCGGAGTGCGAAAACGAAGACACCAGTTGGTGAGATAAAATATGGTCTAAAAATCCCCTGTAATGGCTGTAGCTTGAATAAAAATCTAGCAGGTGTAATTTGTGATAGACTTGCTTTATTTGAGTGCTTTGTTTAGGGACGATTAGCTTACAGATTTGCAAAATGTGGCTTTGCTTTTAACGTGAGGTGGGTTGGGCAGTTGTCTGTATGGCTGGCCGTACGGTTGTAAGTCGCCCCCACTGTAAACACTTCCACGCACATCCCTGCCATCTCGCCCCGTGAATGTATAGTAAACCGATTTGATCCAGTTGATACAGTCCTGTGTCAATGAAATGACGCCCTAATCGAATACAGTTTGGTTTTGCATCATACAGTTATGACACCTGATTGCCTTTGAACCCTTTTTTCATGGTGGACCGGACTTGATCATGATAGGGAGGCTAAATTCAATTAGGCCTAGGCCTAAGCCTATTTTATTTTTGATTTTTTAAGTTTATGATGTAGGCTTAGGCCTACATCATGTATCTTGAACTTGAAGAGGATGCCACAAGAATTGTTTTGATTTAAATGTGGATTCCATCAGACCAGAGTCTGATGGAATCCAAATGTATATCAAAAGAAAAGCAAAGAAAAACCAGTCTGAAGCGGGGATGTTTGAGATGTATTTACATGTACTATGAACTTGTAACATGTGTAATGCACAGCAAACTATGATTATTTTGTACACAAATGTTTAGTTAAGACTACATACATGTACAAGTCATACTAGCCTATAGAGTAGTTTTCCAGATAAGTACTGAACAAGTGCAGGGACTGTTTCTTGGCAATAAAATTGTTCAGTAATAACAGAATACTAAGTAACAACAATTTTGGCGCACAACCAGACCGAGATGGTCACACATCTCGGTCTGGTTGTGCGTCAATATTGTCGTTACTTTGTATTCCATGAGATGGGAATCAGACCAACTGGCAACTTTTGAACCCTCCATCCACAAAAAAGTTTATCCTGGGCCATGAATCAGAAAAAGAAAATCCAACACTCTGTAATTAAATTTAAGACAGCGTCATTTATGATGTAGCCCTACATACAAATTTTTATGGAAGGAGTTCCATATATGGACAAAACCTGAGGCCCTATGCACAAATCTATGAGACTTGTATGTAAAAATGTGTTTTGTGGGATCATTTGTCAAAGTGGCTCAGTGGAACAAGATCCAACAGGTCAACTCTCCCCAAGGCCAACCAGCCTGGGAGTCTGTGGTTGCCAGTCACCACAAGATCCAACAGGTCAACTCTCCCCAAGGCCAACCAGCCTGGGAGTCTGTGGTTGCCATTCACCACAAGATCCAACAGTGGCATTGCTCAATAGGCCTACATGTAGCTCCCATTCTCTCAACGTGGCCAGTTTGTTTGGCTGCTGTTGATTGAACAGGGTGCATCAGACTTTTCCACCTGATGGACTGTGCTGTGTCTTGTAGGGTTAGGGTTAAAGAGCAAACACAGACTGTATGATGACCAGTCTCGCATAGGTTTCACGTTAGATATATGTCGAGATCTGGAACTCATTCCAAAAAGTCGGCATTTTTATCAGTGTTCGTTATTTTTCAACCCAGGCATGCTGAGCTTGAGGCAGCCCTCTTGGAAGGCTGCGACTTTGGGACCCTGAGAAACATCTGCCAGGGCCGCCAGATTCCCAACCAGTACAGCACGACATGCTGGAAGGTAAACCCTCTTGCAGTCGTAAAACCTTTCTAACAAGAGGGGAATCCAATCAAGGACCACTAGTTAACTACTGGTTAGTTTGTGATGTACCTAGCGCATGTGCAATGAAGTTAAAGTTTGAAGACCCTAGTCAACCTAGTCAGGTCAGGTCATCAGGCAGAAGGGAAGAAAAAGGTGGCTGCAGGAAGGGCAAACTAGCAAAACTAAAAGGGGAAAAATGGCCGTTTACGAGCGACATACAGTTTTTCTGGCATTTTTCGTATAACTGGTCCTCTCTGCACTGTGCTATTCAAAACAGTTTATGGCAACCAACAATGTGACCAACCTCGATAGGTTGGTCACAAATAGTTGACTAGACCAGTCCAGTCATTGTTGACTAGCATGCGTTTGATCAGAGTTAGTCGAACTATGGATAACTGTGGTCCTCGCTCAGACTTGCCCAAGGTCAGTGAGACCTTTAGCAAGATCCTTGTTCCATGTATAATGAGGGCCTTGTATTTTCAGTACAGGGAAACAGAGAATATAATACAAAACTGCTGCAAACTGCTTGCTGACTACAATGACCTGAAATACAAATCTCAAAATATGAAGGGCCTGACGTTTCGATCCTAGCAGAATCTTTCTCAAAGGCAAAAAAGGGAAGAGGGAAACAGAGAATACGAAGACTTGTGCGCCTGGAATAGATATTGGTCCAAGGGGAATGGTATTAACAGTGCTCTCATCATTGGAGTTTGATGGTATTCATTGTTGGGCTGCAAATTGTAACCTTTACATGGAGTTGTTGCCTTTGCCACTGTAATCTGTCAATTAACCTTCTCGACGTTCAAACAGTCAGAGACAGTGAAAATTCCATCCACTTCACCTGACATCCTTTTTCGCGTGCCCAGTCACCGACACTCTGATCATACATGTACCTCTGGTTGGTACTTTGGCCAGTCACATTCCATGAACAGACAACAAAACGGTTGACTGGCACAGCTGGATTTCAATCATGGGCGGTCCAGGCACAGTTGCCCGTACATGTTCATGCACACAGTTAGCGTCTTAAGGTGTCTCTCCAGTTTGTGATGACAAGAAGAAATACCTCTTAAACTTGAAGGTTATCGACCCTCAGTATCTGACAATCTGGATAAGTATTGCTTGTCAAAATTCAAATTCAAACATGTGTGTATCCATGGGTATTTTGGAACAAAAACTGTGCCAAAATACATTCAGTCATATTTTTCTTACGCTTGGTTGAGGATTTCTCAGAGTTTTGACGCTGGAATACCGATATCCCAAGTAAGGCCTTTCGAATAACCTTTTCTTAATTTTTTATCTTTCTCTGTAGATTTGTCTAAATGTGGTGGGAAAGGGAGATGCGCTGGCTTCCTTCGATGGCATCTTTGATTTGCCCGAGCAGGAACTGATCCGAAATGACTGCAAAGAATTTATTGGTGAGTGTGCACGCGCCGGCTTTCCCTTCAACGACAGTAGTATTCTTGCCACAGTTTTGAGGCAAGATATCACGACCACCTTTTGAGATGAAGCCAGACACCACCAAATACAAATTAAAAAAGGTCATTACAAATTCATGCCATTTATGGCAATGAATAATTTAAAATATGTGATAAATCACTTCTGAATGTTTTATACCACGTTGAAAAAAATGAGGCATGGAACCCAAAATGGTCGGGTACATGTACCAACCCATTCAACAGATTACATTGAGTAAGATAGATTCTGGGAACATGATCAATATGGCTTCCCTGGGAAAAAGGCCTCTTGAAAGCCTGTCCTAGTGGGTTTGTGTTGTTGTGTATCATCTCTGTTTCTAACTCGCAGAAAAATTTGACAACTCAGATGAGGAGAAGCTGTCCCTGTCCAGCGATCTGGAGTCTGTCATCACACTGTACTGCAAGTCCAAGAACGCGAAATATGTCCACAGCAATGGTTGGCTGGACGTACTTGGCCCCTTGGTGGCACTGCGCATGGAGCGGGCCGACCTATACAACTGTTTTTATGCGGTCATGAGTAAATACGTTCCCAGGTGAGTTTGTGTCATGGGTTGACGTTAACCCTGCTGTACGGAGTAAAACTGCTTAAAAGTACTTACCAGAGATGCTGCCCTTTTTGAGCCGATGGGTGCCAGTCCCCTTGAGCAGGGCCACTGTTGGTTCCTTTAATGGCTTGCTTGAAGTGGTCAGCCTGTGGTTGCTGGCCTGTTTTATGTGGCTTGTGGTGACTTGCCTGTAGTAGCTGGCCTACGCTGGCTGGCCTTGTGATGGCTGGCCTGCAATGGCTGGCCTGCGCTGGCTGGCCTGTGGTGGCTTGCCAGCGATGGCTGGCCAAAGATGTCTTGCCTGCAATGGCTGGCCTATTGTGGCTGGCCGGTGCTGGCAAACCTTTGCTGACTGGTCCGCGGTGGCTGGCCTGCAGTGGCCGGCCTATTCTGGCTGGCTTGTTCCGACTGGCTAGAGCTGACTGCCTTGTGATGACTGTTCCATTATGGTTGACCTGCAGTGTCTGTGGTAAAATTATGAAACGCTCCCTTAAGCAACCACACCTGGAACAAGCCAACATTCCTTTATATTTCTCAAGCATTTCTTGGTTTAGAACTTCCCTAAAAAACTAGTGTGGTCTCTTCCCTCTCTTTGCCTTTCCCAAGCAGAGATAACAGCAAAGACAGTAAGATGTACCAACTCTTCAGACTGCTGCTCATGTACCATGAACCACAGCTCTGCAACTTCCTGGACACCAAAAAGATATTCCCCGACGCCTACACGTCAGTTTGGGTAAGGCTGATCTGCCTTGACTAGATAGCAACCACTGACCAGCACAGAAGAGATGGTCTGGTGCTTGGGGTTCTATTCAGATCAGTGGGAATTGGTCATATGTACTCCTTCAGTTTGTACAGAATACAACAGAACTTGCAGAAATCATGTTCGTATGAAAAGTAAAAACTTGTCCGCTGCTTCAAAACTTGACTTACCCACATAATCACAGAAGGGTAATTTCCTCCTTTCAAGCTCAGTTTGTAGCAACCTGTCCCAATGGGCCTTATGCACACCTTGGCTAAGTAGTGCCCTGAAATAGTGCCTAAGATTAGCAAATCTTCAGATGTAGTAAAGCATGGGTTTTCCGACAACTATCAAGCAGCTCCTTGAAACTTACGCCTTTCCAAATGCAACCCCTCATCGGTTGAAAAGAGCGATATTGGTCAGGAGTGTTCATTTTAGTGGTAGTGACGCTAACGTAACCTGCATTTCCTAGTCATTTGTAAACCGGCGATGTTCAGTTCCGACCAAAGGAGCCGCCGTTGCTAGGAAGATTGTGCCCTCTCTTGGTCCACCTCCTGGCTTATACAAGGCTTTTGGTTTGTCCAGTTTTCCAGCTTATTTGCCAGCAACTGCTCCCTGGAGGTGCTGCAGATCATGTGGAGTCTCTACTTTCTCCAAGCCGATGCATTCCTCTCCTTCTTCCTGGGGTTAATCATTCTCGTCAACGCCAAGTAAGTCATCCGGGGATGCGTCAACCGTGGCTACCAATCTAGCCGGCTGCGTTTGAGTGCAGGACTCATGTTGCACTCCTTAGGGAGTATGACTCGCGGGGGAGCGAGAGTATACCATGAATCAGACCGGTGCACCAATGTGATCAATACTGATTGATCGGTACCAGTCAGGTGGATACCAATCAAATGGGGATAAGAGTGCCATATACGTGCATCACTTATTTACCCTTGCAGTGGCTTATTACATTAGCTATGTGAAAGCGGTAACATATCCATAAAATCAAACTTCTCTGGGAAAATATTCAAGAAATTACTCGGAGAAACATGGACATTTTCAGACCGGTCTCGTAGGGTCTGAGTACAGGATGTCAATTAAGGTCCGTGTATGGAACTCCTTCCCTGGCGGGGTGCCAATCTATACTGATCACGTGAATACTGATTATGACATTGATCGACCAGGATAACGATCGATTCAAATCGACTTTGGGGTCGTCAGAGTAGTCTCCTGAATGATTTTGTGATGATTGTTTACATGTGTACCACTGGCACCATTTGTCCGTGTCTTGCAGGGACCACATCCTCACAGAGTTGGAAAACGAGAGCCGAGAGGCGATAGCGGAGGCGCTGGCCTCTTTCCCCAACCAACTAGAAGCAGATGACGTGGAAGACTTCTTCAGTCTGGCCCAGTATTACGCCTCCAAGACGCCCCAGTCATTTCGAAGGGTAAGGCTCGGTCCAAACAGCTGGGTGGCTGCTTGAAACGACACACGTGTCCATGATCGCCATCAGTTAGCCGCTTCATACGCCACTGTTGCTCCTCATCACATCAACTTCCTATTTTATCAGCCACAGTTTGTTTTTCTTCTTGACAGGATTATCAGTCCATTTATGGTAGCACCTTAAGCAATGCCAAAGAATCTCTCAGTCCGGACCTGTCGGGCGCCCTGTGTCTACAGGTCAACCCCTCAGAGTTGTTACAGGCAATCCAACAGGGCCCGGTAAGTGCCAAAATGAACCTGCCTCTTTTTGAAATCTGCCTGACCTGGAAGGATCCAGGCAGCTTGACCTGGAAGGATCCAGGCAGCTTGACCTGGAAGGATCCAGGCAATGAAGGTCTTTTTCTCCGATTCTGGTTTTATGCAACTTTGTAGTCTTCCTCAGTGTACAGAAATGATTTGACATGCTTTTGGGGTTGGGTGCATTAAAAAGGTGCAGCTTTTCAAACGTTGTAAGACTTTCCATGCTATTTGGTACTAAACTCCTCATGAACATTTACAGTGACAACTGGCCGGTTTGTTTGATTTTGCATTTCCATTTCACCCACAGAATGACAGCGTAAGTTATTTTGTTGTCGACTGTCGACCGGCTGAGCAGTATAACAGATGTCACCTTGCCACAGCATTCCACCTTGATGCCGACCTGGTGAGTAAGCCACACCCACCAGCCGTACCCTCTTTTTAAGCATCCAGCATAAACCACTTACCGATGATATTATTCCACACCCCTCAGATGCTGCAACAGCCCACAGAGTTTGCCAGTGCCGTCAAGGCCTTGTTCACAACCCAGCGGCAGGCCATCGCGGCCGAGTCTCAGGCCGCTGGGGAACACCTGTGCTTCCTGGGAAGTGGACGGGAGGAGGAGGACCAGTACCTACACATGGTGGTGGCCAACTTCCTACAGGTGAGCTATGAGCAGTGAGGGGTGAGGGATGAGCAATGAGCAATGAGGGGTGAGCAGTGAGCAATGAGGGGTGAGCTATGAGCAGTGAGGGGTGAGCTATGAGCAGTGAGCAATGAGGGGTGAGCAGTGAGCAATGAGGGGTGAGCTATGAGCAGTGAGCAATGAGGGGTGAGCTATGAGCAGTGAGCAATGAGGGTTGAGCTATGAGCAGTGGTTAATGAGGGATGAGCTATGAGCAGTGAGCAATGAGGGGTGAGCTATGAGCAGTGAGCGGTGAGTGGTGAGCTTTGAGTGATGAGCAGTGAGCAATGAGTGGCATTTGATAAGAGATTACATTGTTCCAGTGTAATCGGAGCTGTTCTGATTATTGTGTTTTCAAAGGCCTAAAAACGTTCCAATTTCCATAAAAACAGATTAAATAGATTAAAAAGTACTGGCTAAAAAGGGTGCTTTTTGCTTTGGTAAAATAACAGTCGTCACACACGTGTGTGTTGTGTACATGTACATGTCAATAGCCTTTGTCACATGGCTGTTTGTTTTGATATGAGCTCCTTCAATGGGTGTTCCGATTTCTGACTTCTCAGTGTTGGCAGGCGTGAGTTCAGCATTTGAGATGAACGTGCAAATGGAGCATGTGCTAAATGTCACAGATTTTCACACAAAATGTTCTAAAGTTTTCTCCCAACTCTAAAACTGCAACTGCTTCTCAGTGTCTCCTCTCTAAAGATGTGGGCAGAGGTGGGTTGTTCAGCGGCCGCCTCAGGCACCCCTTATTTGCCTTCCGCTCAAGGTGGTTTATCTGAGGGCCTCCACGGAAAGCAGTGCCTTGCACTGATCGGATTTTACCCTCATTAAATGATGGCATAAATGGTCTATCTCTTCCAGAAGTTCTACTAACATGTCGTCGCTGGTGATGTCATCTTGTCCACACTGTATTTTTTGTTTTTCAGAAAAAGACACAGTATGTCAGCATTGTTGCCGGTGGTTTTACAGGTGAGATAAGTGTCTTTTACGAAAGAAGGCAGCATTTTAATTCTAACATTTCATGAAAGTCTCTTCACTCTGACCCTCTTGCCCTTCCTTGAGAGTTGTAGATGCATAACCACTACCAGCCGGGGACTCCGAAATCGGAGCCGTATGGTTTATATGGGTGGCCAGGGTCTCTGAACTCGGACAAAGGAAACAGGGCCCTGTAACAAAAGACCGTACTCCAAACAAAAGACCAGGCTGCTGGGCATTACAGGCATTTTTCACTCTCAAAAGTGGTGATAATCCAGGGTTATTTTGACACTATATACCAGGGTTTGGGGCATTGAGAGCAAGCGGATTACCACCGAGGACAAAAGCGCTCCACCAGTTGGTTTGTAAAGTGGGTCCTGGTGGATGTATTGCAGGTTCCCTAGAAAGTTCTCTTTGGGTTCCTAGAAGGTTCCCAGTGGGTTTCTTGAGGGTTCCTGACAGGTTCCATGAAGGTTGCCTTTGGGTTCCGAGAAGGTTCCTGATGGATTCCGTGGAGGCTCCCAGTGGTTTCTAGAGGGTTACTGATGGATTTCAGGAAGGTTTCCTTATGGTTCCTACAAGGTTCTCAGTGGATTTCCACCCTGCTAGTATGTTTCTAGAACAATCCTGGTGAGTTCATAGAAGATACAGAAGTTTCCTGGAAGGTTCCGATGAGAATCCAAGTAGGTTCCCAAAAGATTTGAAGAAGCTCCTCCTACCATGTTCCAGGTTGGTTCTCAGAAGGTCTTTAGCCTAAGCATTTAAAGCTCCTCCGTCTTGGGCACATTTCCTTGTATGCCACCTTTCTGGCCATGATCTCCTGAAGGCAATTTCTTGCATGACCTGTTTTCGGTTTCAGCGTTATTAAAGTTAATCGAGAAGGAGTCGTCGTCGTCATCAGCTGACCAGTCGTTAAAGTCTTGCATCATCTCCCAGCCCGAGCGAGCAGGCTCTGACGACAGTGGGGTAAGCGGAGCTTTTACTCGCTCTGAGTAGAGTAGGTCATACCCAGAGCCTTAACCATCAGTGTGTAATTACTGCTGGTCCCTGGGACAAAATGGAAACACAAAGCATTGTGGGTAGCATGTCTCCGTACGCAGTACATGTGCATGTGCTCAAAGGTCAGAGGTTGTATGCCGTGTGTTGGGAGAAGGGTCTAAAAAGTCAACATAAAAAGTGATGAGTCACCATTCCAAGGGTGTAATACGGACTTTATTCACAATTCATATGTAATTGAAAGCAAGGTTAACTTTTTCATTTTGGGGAATCTAAGAATAAAATTGAAAGCAGTGAAATGAACGTTCATTGTGGATTAATTTCATTTACAATAATGAAAAATTGAAACCATATATCTGAATGTTTTAATACTGCGTTTCAAAAAATGAAAGCGAGGCACAGAACCCATAACAGTCTGGCACCACCCCTTATGACAGATTACGTTTAATCTGATTGATTCAGGGAACATGATCAAAAATGGCTTCCCTGTGGAGAAGGTCTTGGATCTGATTTGTCCATTCAGATTGCGTTCCCAGTTTGTGTGTTTGAATGAGTCCATCTTGTCCGTTGCATCAGTATGTTTCTGAAGAAAAAAGCATGTAAGCAGAGAATTTGTGATGAACTCGCTAAATCTCACAGGCAAATGTCTCTTGCTAACAGTGGTGCAGTAAAGCCCGTCACAATAAACCTGCATGCGTTAGCAAGTCTGTCAAGTGCATTTACAGTAAGCAGAAAGTTGTCTGGCAAGCATCCTGCCGTACTGTTCATGTAAGATATTGCTTAGAAATATCATTGGCTGGTTTCACTGGCTATTTTCTTAGAAATGCTTCCTCTCGCATTTTCGAGTAGTGGGTTGCTTTCCCTGTGCTTACATGTATCTCTCTGTCAGTCCAGTTTGGGCTCCTGTCTGCCTGTTCTGTTCGTCAGGCTGTCTGTCTCTGTTTTTCGGGCACTGCATGACTAGTCCCTAGTACATGTCTTTCTCTCTCTTTCTGTCGTTTTGATCATAGATTGGTGACTCTCCCCAGAAACTCTCAGAGAAAGGAGCAGCGCTGATGGGCCGACTGACGTCCACCTTCAAGACCAAGTCGGCCGAGATGAAGGACCGGATGGTGGAGTTCATCAAGAACGAGGCTGTCAACGAAGATAGGTAAGACGTGATGGAATAAACGGTAGAAAAATATAGGAAAGAGCGCCCTCGGCTGTGCATGCATAATACACACTGGGCTCTCAGAAGGATTTTGAAATGGTATAAACTTCACGCTGAGGCGTCACCGTCCCCCAAATGAGACCTTCCATAAGGACATCTTAGACGTGACCAGACAATGAAGTGAAAGGAAAGGGCACCCTCAGCAGTACATGCACCAGGCATATATGGGCCTTTCAGTGAGAGAGAGTTTAAAAGGGCAGACTTGGAGTTGAAGCAATAACAGATGAGCCCTCTCAAGGTAGGGAAAGGGTAGAAATGAAAACAAACAACTGGTAGACCGTCTTCCACCAGCTATCGACACGAAAGGTTTGAAGACAAAACTTGAATGGTAAACAGTGAAAATTATCTGATAGAATTTGATATTCTGCACCTGTTTTCCATGGCAAATCTTGGGAGCAAGTTATCCTTTCAAGTCATGGAAAATTTTTAAAAGTAGGGTGCCCTGAAATCCTGTTGTCTGGAAGAATGTCACGCGACAAGCCTGGTCTAGCATTTCAACAAGAATATAATATCAAATCAGTGCTGTGAAATATGTGATTGCCGAGCTTTCGGTGACTGAGGACCTTCTTGCCCTGAATCTACTGAATCTTCTTGCCCTGAAGAAGGTCCTCACAGTTACCGAAAGCTCGGCAATCACATATTTCACAGCACTGATTTGATATTATATTCTTGTCGATATTCTGATCACGGTGCTACGCAGCCCTTCCATATTTCTCTGGTCTAGCATTTGTCCTGTTCTTTTTTCCCGTTTCACAGGCACGTCAGTAGTCTGGACACAGGGAAGAGATATCGAGGCAACAAGATGCAGAATGTGTTCAGCATCGGAGACGAGGAGGAAGAAGCAGGTGGAGGCTCATTTGCATGTCATTTACATGCCATTTGCATTTTTTGTGCGCATAGAAGTCACACCAGGATCGAGTGGTCCACAGTTAGGCGGCACACGGGACCGAGAGGTGTTCCGAATTTTCATTTGTAACCTACATATGTTACATATCCCGGGCACCAAGTAAAATCAACAAGTGGTTGACAGACTCACTGTCCAAAATTGCCCGAGTTGCGATGATTGTTAGCATTAGCCTTGACTGTTGCTTCAACAAGTCGCTCACCCACAACTGATCTGGGTTGCCCTGTTCAGCATACTTGCATGTGCACATGCACCGTAGAGAGCGAAGAACCGTAACCCTGCCACGGGCAGTACAGTCCAGCTGGTGGGAAAGTCTGATGCACTGGGCAATCAACAGCAGCCAAACAAACTGGCCACGTTGAGAGAATGGGAGCTGGTCCCATTGAGCAATGCCACTGTTGGATCTTGTGGTGACTGACAATCACAGACTCCTAGGCCGTTTGGCCTTGGGGAGAGTTGACCTGTCGGATCTTGTGGTGTCTGACAACCACAGACTCCTAGGCCGTTTGGCCTTAGGGAGAGTTGACCTGTCGGATCTTGTGGTGTCTGACAACCACAGACTCCTAGGCCGTTTGGCCTTAGGGAGAGTTGACCTGTCGGATCTTGTGGTGTCTGACAACCACAGACTCCTAGGCCGTTTGGCCTTGGGGAGAGTTGACCTGTCGGATCTTGTGGTGTCTGACAACCACAGACTCCTAGGCCGTTTGGCCTTGGGGATAGTTGACCTGTCAGATCTTGTTCCAATGGGCACGGCAAGCCACTTTTACAAACAATGCAAACTGATGCATCTGACGAGGTCTCTAGCCAAAGTGCCCTGGTGGTCTAGGTTTCTAGCCAAAGTGCCCCGGTGGTCTAGGTTTCTAGCCAAAGTGCCCCGGTGGTCTAGGTTTCTAGCCAAAGTACCCCGGTGGTCTAGGTTTAATAAGGTTTAGTAAGGCAATGTTTAGGGCTGTAGCCAGCAAAATTGGACTGTACTCGGAATATTATAAGTCATCTTATGACTGTCCTCCATTGCCCTGCCCATGATTTACAGACAGCTTTGGCAGCGCGGCGTCGTCAGATGAAGAGAGAAAAGAACTGGTCAAGACGGACACCTGGCTGAAGAAGCCAGACATCCTGGCCGCCTACCAGTGTCAGGAGGTCAAAGATAACGGTCACACCTATCCAAGGTCAGTCCCCGGAAAATATGCAATCCTCCCTGAGATGTACGTTTGGCATTAGGGCCAAATCCTCCACTGGACCTACCATAGCCGGTTCGGTCCAATTGAAATAATTGGCTGTCACCGTTTGCGAGTAAGCCATACCCCTCATACAGTCCCACAGAATTTTGTATGCCGAGTTGTGTGTGTCTCAGATTTTGCGTCCTGCGTCCGTTTTGTGTTTCTCGTAATTGGACAATATTTCAAATGCCGTGTTGGGGCAATATTACTGCGATAGGTCCGTTTTGGGGCCAGCAGTTAAATTTCACGGCCTGCAAAAACACGCCGCTGTGCTTTCTGTCATGAAAAGCCAATGTAGGGAAATCGGTTTTAACCAACTGCACGTCCATACCTTCCACTTTGTTTTTAATCAAGGTGGTTTTTGGCACATTGCGTTATTAATGAGGCATTAACGCGACTCTGCTCTTTGTGTCCACAGCAACATGCTGGTCACCAAGACGCACCTGTACGTCCTGCGGGACAAGGCCGACAGCCGGGGCTTCTCCTACATCGTGGCCCGCCGGGCGCTGGCCGACGTGGTCCGCATCACCTCCAAGAAGCGCTGCCCGGAGCTCATCACCTTCCGCTACGGCAAGTACAGCGGGGGCGGCAGCAGCGAGGAGACGGAGGTGTACGCCGTGGACCGGCTCTACCTGCCCTTGGCCAGCGAGGCCACCAAGCTGGTCAAGAGACTAATCATGAACGTACTGGAACCGCCGGGCACCGGCAACGGCACGGCGGCTAGCGCGGATCCGGCCACATAGCCCCGTGACCTTTGATCACATCGGGTCAAAGGGCAATGTAAAGGTAAACTGATTGATATTTATACATGAAGGAATTAGAACTGATAAAGGTATTTCAAACTGCCCGGCATTGCTACTAAAGCTGAATCAAATCAGGCACCCTTGTGACCTTTGATCTCACCAGGTCAAAGGTCAATATTAAAGTAAATGGATTGGTACAGTGCTCGTCATACCTCAGGGGACACAGAACTGGTCAAGATAATGAAACTTCCGGAACATGCCAGCATAGCAGGGTTGGAAGACGTAGCCCTGTGGCCTTTCACCTCATAGTGTCAAAGGTTTGTGACCAGTTTTGCAGAAGTCGGTGAGACTAGTTGAGAGATTACTCACAGATTTTATGAAATTGCAGTGCCCTGGTGCGCAGCGTGAGTTACCCATGCATCTCTTAACCTGTGACCTGCACAGGTCAAGCTTTATCATAAAGGTGTTAATTATAGGCTCTGTACCAGAAAGGTCAATGAAACCATCCCAGATATATAATACCACCTGCTTCCATCCATGGCAAAAGTAAAGCACTGACCTTGTAAGCCGCCTTGGTAAAAGGTGAATTAGGTACGTCAGATTAGTACATTTAAAGCCTCTCGTCAGTGTCGAGTTTTGAGACACACTCAAAACGTTTCAAACCCCACATTCAGATTCTCCGCCCCCCTCCCCTGAAAGGCAGATCGTCGCTAAATGATGTCCCTGCTGTGACACATGCCCTGCCTGCTACACAAACGCAAAGAACGGAAATCACTGTTTTCACCTTTTGCTGCAACAGTCAGTCAGATGTACCCTCCGCTCGATTTGCCTTAGTACACAGACACAACTTGAATATAACTTTCATGCCTCTTGTTCTAACGGTAGCCCATATGGACCATGACAAAAACATTCTGTTCTCTTGTACCTTTCATTCTTTTGAGTAGGGTACCATAGAATATCCCCACCAATGTCAAGAGGCTTCAGAGGATAATTGGAGATTTCTTTTTTTTTGCTCTTTTCATCAAGGGGGAAATTTTGGGTAAATTGATATTTTGGGGGAGGGGTTTATATGATAAACATTTTGTCATCGTTTGATTGTAAATTGATTCCTGGTTTGTATAATTTTCGTTATTGTTATTTTGTACCAGAATGAATCAGGGTTTACTTATTTATATTGCTTCAAGTTCAACCTCATTCTTGTTTTTTCAATTAAAAGTCTGATTAGTTAAAACAAATGTATGATCTTTTTTCTTCTTTGTTTCTTGTATATTAAAGATGCCATAAGAGCTGAGAAAATGGAGGGTAAATTATATTTTAATAAGAGGCAAACATGTAAATGTTCAATTGAATTTGACAGTTATTTGGGGGATAGATATTAAAAGTAGCATTATAATGAAAATATTCATCACACCAAAAAAAATCATCAACTTCAAGTATTGTTGTAGGCTGTAGGGCGTAGGTGTAAGTCAATCTAGGAGCCTAGGTTGTCCGTTGTCAACTCATGAATAGGCCTATGTGCTGACATGCCATCGTTGTTTACATGCGCACTTGCCCATGGCGCCAGTGGGGGTCCATGGTCCACTGGCCACCTCAGGAAAGCACAATGGTAAACACAGTGGGGTGTCAACAGTACAGGGCTCATACTGTACATGAACCGTACTCGAGGCATAATGGTGTCAGCTTATGTTGAAAGTGGCGTTGCATTGTGGTTGCTAGGCAGGCACTGCAGGGCAGGGCCACATGATATTTACATTTCTGGATATTTTTCAACTCAGGCTTGTTTTTTTTTCTTTTTTTTGGGGGGGGGGGATTTCACGGCCAGGGAGCCAGATTCCACCACCCTCCTCAAGAATTAGGCTGTCACATGTCTGATCCATGTCCAACTCAGCCTTTGTGTTAAGTCCGTCATTAAAAGTACACAGGCTATATATGCGAAATTCCAATCCAGTCTAAATAATGGTTTTGTTATTTCGGTCATTTGAAGTTTACGGCCTTCTTCGCATAGGCCCATGCACTGGCCTCGTGTTCACAGGCCCATGCGCTCACTTTGTGAGACGCAGTCATGCAAAATCGTGTGCTTGTACCGAAAATCAAGGGTGCCAATCCAGGCCACACCCACATTGTGGGGGGCCTTTTGGACTGGGTCTTTGTTTTGCCTGCATGGTGCAGGCCCATGGAAATGGGTTGTTTTCTCACAACACATGTTCCAGAACTGGCAAGCGGGATTTTCCAACAAAAGTGGAAATTTGGTTACAAGGTACCTACTTCATTATCGTCAGTAATTTTTGAACAGAAAAAGAAGTTTTAAAAAAAAAAATGATAAGTACAATTTCTCTTTTCAGTTTTAATAGCTCATGGTCGGTAACAGCGTGACCAAATTTCCACTTGCGCATGGAATTGCCCAAGTGCAATGTGCCCGGAAGTTAATCAGTCAAGCAGAAACAACACACTGAATGGTTGAATGACCCCGAAAAATATTTCATCCATCCCTGCCTTGCTTCCGGTATTAAGCCATATGTCCAACTTACCTTAGCTACGGCTTGCAATTACATGCAACTCTATGCGAGTTGCCTGCAGCCATTATCCATAAGACGCGTGTACAGTTACCAAACATAGCCACACGATAAAACAGTAAGCCCAATATGACACCATTACATTTTTCTTAGTTGATATTTGTTTCCAACGTGTATTGTAAACTACATGTATGCCGATTGAAAATCGGGGCTATTGTATATATTGCCTAGTCAATCTGTAGAGTGCATGTACATGTATTTATAAACTTAATATAAAAACCATACGTGCTGATTATATTGTACATGTATTATATTTGAAATTTTCCTCGCATCTTTGGGTGTATAATGTATGATATCGAATTCCTGCCAAAACCTGATTGAGGAGCTGCGTTATTTTTTCATTCTAAATTTGCCGTCAAAATATAGAAGCAGAATTGTACAGCGGTAGTTGAGGGCGTATTTCGGCACGTAAGGAGAAGAGTACACACATGGTAGAGTAGGCAAGTTGGCCTGGCCTACGTGAACGGGCAAGATTTCGCAAACATCTTAGCAGAGCATCCGCAAAGTTCATCGCGCCACGAATTATAAGATTTCTTGCTGTTGAAATGTTAGCTGGCGAACTATGTATCATAAAGCAGTTGACAGAACTGTTGAAAAACATAACATATAAATGGCAGTGAGTAAACACGGTAAAACTGGTTAAGAATGCTGAAGAAATGTAGTCAAACTGTCGTCTGTAAGAGCAATTTTGCCGAAATCAGACTTTGGCTATCAACGTAGACATACTTGGTTTTGAAACCTTTGAATAACACCTGCATGTGTGACGTTGCAGAACTTGCATTTTCTACAAAGCGTTAAATTGTATCTTGTCTGTGATACTGAATTTAGAAATCAATACACCGTGGTAGATTAGTCAAACCTGTCTTAGTTGGACAATTGAGGGGTAGATAGAAATGAGTGGGAGAAGAGTCCAGAATGTTAGTGGGCGGTAGAGTTGACTCGAGTCACCATAACGTTGTGGCTTGTGGCTCGAGTTGAGTCGTTGTAATGTATTGACTTATTTACCGTGCAGCTCGAGTCAATTCGAGTCACAAATATTTGAACACAATACAGGTAGGATGAATAAAAGTAAGAGAGTCATGTTTTGGGCATTTTAAAATTTACTCTGGATTTCTCTACATGGCCACACCACATGGGCCAAAAATGTGTGACTCGGGTTAGTTTCAATTCAAATCACTGGCGCGAGTCATAACCATATGTACTTTAGTGGATTGGGCTTGGTAGGTGGGATCAGCCTGCACAGTGTCAGTGTAGTGTGCAGTGACATAGCCAGGGTGTGAGTTCCAGTGCAAGATACGGAGTGTTTCTAAAATTGCTGTCCAAATATGTTCTCCGCATACACACCCACTTACCTTACACACCTAGTGTAGACATTCCTTTCTTTTTGTGCAGTTAAGAAAACTCAGTGAAAATACTCGTTTTTCTTGAACTGGGAACATGATTTTCAGCTGGACTTTTGTACAAGGTTTCCTAGACTATTCCTCTTCCTTTTACGACAGATGACCCCTTCCCCAAAATGTCTCTAAACCCCTTTTTCAGAGAAGGGCAACGTCCTCTGGGCGTGCATGTGTAAGTCCACAGAATGTTTTCCTTTCCTGCATCTTGTGGACAACTTTTATTCACACTAGGTATGTGAGGTTAGCGCACGAATACCCTACCCCGAGTAAAATGCAGGCACGTACATGTACAATTCGTTAAGAGTTGAAGTACTGACACTTGTAGTTTTTGAGAAAACAACAAAAGCAACACCTCCCCAACTTGTCACACCCCCCTTATACATGCCATATGCCAATGTTAACAGTCAGTCAGCTGGGAGCCATTTACATGCTTGTACATTTATACTGTGGCTTAATTGAGGTACTGACTTAATGTATGGGGCATTTTGATTATTAAAATAAGTGCAATACGGTATTATCTGTTGCATACAGAAAAGACTGTCATGCACTGTGTAACAAGTGGACAGGTGTGAACTTACGTTTGGCTCTGTTTGTGCTGAGCATGCGTTACTGTGTTTGAGAACTGGCTAGTTTCTGATGTGTTTTGGGTTAGTTCTGTGGGTTTTATTTTATGATTTTAATTTGTTAAATGTTTTCTTGTAGAAAGTTGCCATCACTTTGAAGGTCGCATTGCATCTGTTTATAAGAGTACAGTACGTGGGCCCTAATACTTTAGCCATTTCTGAATAACTCGGCTATGGCTTAAAATTCCACTGCAGTCTCTGCGTAATGGCTGCAGCCAGTTCCCATAGAGGTGTGTGTATTTTTAAGCCACAGCCAAGTGATGTCGACATGGCCTCTGCATCCCAGCAGAGAGATGCATTGACCAACGATGTAACTGGTCAATGTTCTCATTGTTGCTGTTTCTTTCCGTCACTCGTGGGGATTTGTCATTTCACAAAGCAGCAATCCCCACATTTGGGGTGGGGCTACCCTGGGAAGGGGTGGCTGATTTGAATGACAGACCTGTACATCGGGACAATCAGGCTTTTGCCTCAGATACTGAGAGCAACGGAAATGCTTGTGCAGACATGGATATTCAATTTGCTAAGGGAAAACAAGGCAAGTAAAAATTCTAACAGTCAAATATGGTAATTCTCCAGCCAAATGGTTTTGACACCAACTACACGTAATTAATAATTGTCTCATAATTATATTTTGCAAGTACGATACCTTTAATGACTACAAAGTACTGAACGTGATAAATTACAAGATATATACACCGATTACGAGCGTGAGAAAAAGCCTCAATTAAATCTTTCGTCTTCCATAATGTTAAATTTAGCATTGGCATTATAAACCAGAATTGGCAATTGGGCACATGTTCTTAAACGGAAAATTAACTTTACATTTAGGTCCGGTACTTTTTACTTAAGCCTCGGAGGTGGTTTGCAAATGATGACGCAATTCCAGACTGAGGGATACATTGTGCCTCAGCACATCGCGATATCACTGTTGGGGGCATGTCCATTACGAACGGCAAAATCAACAAATTAATTAACAAAAGTATGACGAAGAAATCATGGCCTGCTCCGGTTAGTACAATCGACTTTGAAGAAAAAGTTGAAATACATACGGTTAATAAAAACGCAATAAACTACTAAACTCTAAGAACAAACTGGAGTAAGCGAGGTCTGCATATGTGCTAAATAAAGTGAGAAAAACCACATTCAAATCATTACATTAAGATCACTGTACATGTACTTGGTACGAGGATATGTCGACACACTACATGGATCTATTAAATCTCTGACTGTACAGTGCATAAACCAAAGTAGTCAGACCAGAAATGTACATAACACTGAATAAGATATCAAGTGTGAACGTAACTCAAAAAAGAAATCCACAAGCATCAGAAGTGGAAACGAGCGTTTGCAAGTTTTCTTTCACTACAGTGATAAAATGAATGACACAAAACAGGCTGAACATTACAATAAGACATAAAAATCGAGATTATTTAAATTATCTGTATTTACAAGTGCCAACAGATTGTAAAAAATAATTCTTGAAAAAAGGGCTGCGGTGAAGCAATGTGACATGATGATTATTTTGTAAAGTCTACTTCTTTTGTTATATACAATGACCATCTGATGGTGTGGCCATCCAGCAAGGCCCGCACCTGACCTGACAAGACAACTGATGCGCTTATCAACTGATTTTAATACAGAATGGGCCAAATTCCACCAATGCACATGTACGGGTCTGGGCAGAGGCAGAGAGGCAAACCGAGTCCAATGTCTCAGGGATGATTGACAGAACGCCATATCTAGCTTCTTGAAGTTAAACTCTGCGTAACAGAGCGTAGAATCCTCGGCGAGCAATACACACCACAGGATTTTCCTACACGTACTCGTTGCCAGGTTTTACGAAGACATCACCTGTTGAAGTGTAATTGTCACCTTGGCCCAAAATGTCATGGGGGGTGCAAGTATTATCGGTCCCACAACGTTGTCCCAACTTTCCCGGTGGAAATTATATGGAAGGCCTACCCACTTTAGCTGATAACCATTATTGATAAGCAATGGCTACCTACATTTCTATTCTCGCTATTTTGTAAGTTGTCCCAAAAACTGCCCAACATGGTTCATCATAAAGGAGCTTGACGGTTACATAAGGGTGGCAAGCCCAGAATACATCACGCCACATGTCAAAGTGACAAGTAGATGGTGATAAGTCAAACAGTCAGTGGACTGTCAACCAGAGTAACAATGGCAAATGAAATTGTCACAAAAAGGTGACAGATGAGCCCAGTGTACCGGTACATGAACATCACACAAAGTGACGTGGTGGACAGTCACACAGTGTGACAAAGACAAGCCAGGTTGACAGTCAAATAGGGTAATGACAAGTGAGGTAGACGACCAGAAAAAGGTGACAGAGACGAGCCCAGCTTCATGTACATCAAAGAAGGTGACAGCGTGGCATTGTGGTGGACAGTCAGTCGGTACAAACCAGGTGGATAGCCACACAAGATAACATGGGCACGGGCCTAATATACTGTACATTATGTAAACTTATGCTTCACGCCCGACTGATTAAAGACTCCAAAACTACAAACAGCAATGCAATGACGAAAAGCTTGCAACAGAAAAATTATAAAAAAAACTTTGTCTATCAGCTTTTGAAGGCAATGAATGTCTCTCCAATGTCCAGGCACACCAGGTGTCTTCTACGAATAATTCTTCGGCGAAAACCACCACCTACAGTGTATGCACTGACAAAAAATTCAGGAAACGCAGAGGGTTCTGTCCGCCAATATGAAGAAACTGATGACTCATCCTACACAAGCTATTCTGAATAGCAAAACGAGTCCAGTATGTTCGGCCACCAAACTCAAATGCTCACATTTAAACAAAGCATTTGTGACCCACCATCCCCAAACAAGGCTGAAGTCGGTAACTTCATAACCCTAAAATAGTGGAACTACCACTATTCAGTTTTTCATGGGAGTTTTAAAGCTATTACTATCTTTAAGAAGCTTACTGCAGACAGAATTTTGATTCAACATGGATCACTTTCAAGTGTAAAAAAAAGCTGAAATACCGACTTCAGCCTGGTTTTGGGATGGTGGGTCACATTTTGTTACACCTACATGTGTATGTGCTTATAATCAAGAGATACAGCTTACATTAGGCATGCTACTTGGACTTTGACATAAACGAGGCAGTTCCAATCTTTACAGGAGTTTGTACACGATGGCGTGAGTGTGAAGTGAAATACAAGGAAATCAGCTGATCCGAGGAAGAGTTCCACGCCTGTTACGTACATGCACGCAATGTTTTACTACATAAAAAAGACACAATTTTACATTTTTCTAAAAAATAAATCTGAACACTCATTTGTATAGTATGAAAATATCCTTAAAATATTTGTAGGTCAGAGAATACGATTCATTTTTCCCTTTCCAAGTTGTTTCTACGTTTTCTTGTTTTGCTTTTCTTCCTTTTTTGCTCAATTTTTCGCTCTTCTTTGTTTATTTTCGAAGAATACGATTGTCTCAATTAGGGTCATCAGTCAACCTACGTGTACAAGCATGATATGCGATTAGCGTTAACATTTTCATTCGTTCAAAAGATATCTATAAACTTTCACACGAGAGCTACATGTGCATGCCACTAGTTAATTTCCACAATGCGCATCTACGTGTGACAGAGTGCAATGTTCATGCAACACATTCATCCTGAACCCAACACAGCTGGCTGACCAATCACAGCGCACCAAATGACCCACATGACCCTCAGCAGCATGACCCAACACAGCTGGCTGACCAATCACAGCGCACCAAATGACCCACATGACCCTCATCCAATAGCGAACAATTCTGAAAAACCTCAACATCCAATGAATATTTACATGGTAGGAAATGTGTAGGGACACTCAGCATCTTAAGCTCAGTAATCAACCAACGCTGCAATACAGCCACAAGTTACAAACTTTGCAAGCACCAAATTACAAAAAACACTCAGAAAGATTTCAATCCATTTCAATCCTTGAATAAATTTGCCACCTGACGGCGATGCCAACAGTATGAAGAACAAATGCATTAATTTACAAGCAAAACACAAGCGAAGTAACTTTGTTTTGAAAGTCCAAATGGTCAATCACCAAATATTTATAAACAATTTGATCCTTTAAGAATTCCGAGAAACCGAAAATACAATACATTTCTCCGAGAGCGTACTTTCGTTCACTTTGAAAAAGGAAAATCGGTATCTACAGATTTTAAAGTGGACTGGTACAATCGGGCAGGAAACATTGTTTCCCAGAATATCTGCATGCGTACAACTTGTATTTGCACAAGCACGTGCAATGCATTACAAATGTTTCAGGAAATAGCAAGATTTCATTAACCGGGGGGAGAGAAGCAGATATTGTCATTAAAAGTTCACGTACGAAGAGGGTGCGCAGAGGAAACTCTGTCATTTGTAAATGTGTTATTTTCTGTACGGTACTTAAATTCAGCACGTTGTGCAGATAAGTATGCGTACACGTGAATGGGAGTCTCGGTTGGGGTCTGAGTGTTTTTTCTGAAGTTGTGACGAACACAAAGTACTTAAAAAATCTGAGGTTTTGACCCTTGTGTGTCTATGAAAAGTTGGAAATAAAATCCAGCGAGAGCAACCTTTTTGGGTGGGGGTTGAGATATTTTGTGTAATTATTAATACGCATGGGGAAGGTACATGTACTTGGGAGTGAGTCTCGAATTTTTCAGGTGCAGACAAACTCACTCGAGTCTTTGTACAAAACCAACAATATTTCCCATTATAAACTGAGTATCACACAACATACGAATGCATCCAGGCACGGGTATCGCAAATGTACATGTAATTCAGTGCATCTTACTGTGCGAGTAAAAAAGTACACGGGTATGCACGATCAAGCGTCCTACTAGTCTCCAAAATACATCACACCCAATCACATCTTTGTGTGGAACACAATGCCACGAAATGTACATGTATGGGTGATACCAAGGCATCGTGTCAGGAATTAATTACATGTCCATGAAAATGGTTTGCGAACCAGGGCATTTTTTTTTCAAACTTCCAAATGGCTGGGTTACACAATCCAGGAGGTTCCTTTTTCCCAAAAGAATAACCGTTGCCATTGAGAGTGCTGTACACTGCTGTACACCCTCTTTTTGCAGTTGGCCCCTCCCACAAGTCTGTACCTAGTCTGGCGACAGAGCATTGAACAGACTTCTGCAGTGATGGCGCCACACTCAATTTTATGCTCATTTGCTTACCTACGGTGCGTGGTGGATGGTGGGCCTCCGCTGGCTCCATAGGAAGGGGCACATCCAAACAGAGTGTGATGTCATCAGGATATTGGCCAATTGGATCCTGTGAATTACTGACAGCTATGCCTGGCTCATTTCAGTATACATGTATATTTAATCCCTGACTTCAAAAAATCCCTGGAGTGCTTGTGAATTTTCGGTCACGAACAAAAAAATCAATACTGTATCTGAAAATTCGCATGGTGCAAATGTGACCAAAACCACCAAATTCAACACTCCTCCAGAAGTGCCGAGGTGCTTGAGTTTGGCATCCAAGGGATATACCCAACATTTATATCATTTAATCAACTACTGGTACGTGTAGGCCTACTGTTTATATTTCAACTTGATCATTCTGTTCCTGTGGCCCTTGGCTATTGGAAAGAACAAAAGGACAAGTCCACTGTAACGGAGGGGTGCTACCTTCCCTATATAATAAATTGTGACACTGATCATTGGCAGCATCATCACGCCACCTCCTCATGTCTGATTCCCCCCTTAATTCGCAAAATGGATCGACCCAACTGAAATTATACACTCTGATCACTACATTACACTTAAAAAATGAGGATTCACTTTTCATATCCACGAGCAAAAAAATTATCTTGGACATGAACACTCCTTCTGAATCTCCCCTTTATTGAGTCTCCAGCTTCCACGTGGTCCCTCCCAAATTCAAAGAAAACGTGGGACTCTCCGCTAAAGTGCAGAGAGCAGTGTTAGACAAGGATGGACGCGTACTGCGTAGGCTCGTCCTCCCGTGGGTGGACCCTGCCGTGCCCGTTTGTCGCTCCCTGCCTGTTCTGAAATTCCAAGTCAGCGTAGTTTATACCGGCCTGGCCACCGTGCTGTGAGTAGGTACAGATAAAAAAGAGAAAACAAAAATTAGCTCCCAGGAGTGAATCACGCTTTGACCTTGAGCACACAAAATGAAATGACTCATGGCAATGTTACTGTTAACGAGTTATCTGCCGTTACATCTTGTCACGGTATTGTTACACCCCAAATCCTCCTAGAACCTACTGCCAAGGCTAAATTTGGAGGAGCCAGTAAGTAGAAGAGGAGACCCAGTCACCTTCATATGTATGTACACTTATCTCCACTGGCAACTGGCGTTTTCCCCCCCTTTTTTGCCGGCAGTATTGTCTCATTTTTCACTATGCTACATGTACAGTGCTAGAAACTTATGATGGAAACATTTCTGGAGTGAGCATGCTCAGTGAATACCGTACATGGAGCAAGGAAATGAAAGAGCCGAAATGGGAATCAACCGTGATGTGTTCCTGAGCCAAGAAAATGGAACGCCAGCACTGTTTATGTAGTTAACCCCAATGTTCCAACATGTGCACAGAAATCATCCAAGAGTCTACCACTAAGTCTAAATGTTATGAAGCTAATAAGTTGAAGAGAAAGAAAGGGAAACCAGTCACCCACCATGTACTTTTATCTTCAACCTGTTTTGTTTTTGTGTGTATTTTTTTGGGGGGGCGGTGTTGTTCTGCTTTTTCTTGCTGCGTAGTTGAAATTTATGATTAAAATAAATTCTGGAGTAAGCTTTCGATGCTTGTTCGTTATCTGCCTTGCAAGGAAGCAAGATAAAAAATGAAGAAAAACAGACCTCGTTAAAATAAAACACAACCCCCCCAAAAAATAAGATGGCCACTTTTTGTGCCAATACAAAAGCACTACCCTCGTAACTATGCTTCTCCACTTACATGTATCAGATGTCACAGAGACACACACACACACAAAATGGACCCCAACTTTAACCCTAACCCCCTCTAGAGGGTGTATGCATGTAAAATCATATTGAAATCAGAGAACTGTAATTCAAAGGGTTAAAGAAAGACAGAAATATGAATAATCTCTTCCAAATCAACACAAACTCAGCTAAATCTCCGTGTGTATCAACACAATAAGTCGGACGGAAAGCAGTAAAGCAAATAACTAACAACAGAAGTTCTGTAAAGAAAAGCGGCGGAGGAATTCCGCTGCAGCAGAGCGGTACACAAGATGGTTACCGTACGGGAGTTAGTACATTGAACATGTAGTGACTTTTAGTACACAACACACCACCAGGTTCGTACCAAACCATGCATGCCACGTCGCGCACGATTACACAGATCGAACATGAGCAAAAATGCCACAGGGAAATGGAGGTCACCACAATGCATGATGGGACAAAATGGAGGTCATCGGTGTGTTTGCGGCTGTATGCCACTGATAGGAGAAAAGGCGGACGTACCGGGAAAACTTACGGAGATTCCATCACGAGAAAGTAAAATGCACAGCTTTATTATTTTCTAATGTGGCAGATACATGTACATGTACCCGGTACATATACATGTAAGATTAAAATGATGGGTGTAACAAGCCTGCCTTTTGGAAATAGAGACAACTGTGCTCATCTCCTTCCGATAACAGTATTTGACAACAAATGCACTGGGGCACTCTATCCCATCATGCACTGGGGTAAACACTGTGAAACACTCATCTGTGCGTACGGCTTTTCACTGGCTTGTCTCCAGCAGGCACAAATGTGATGGAACACACATGCGCATTCCTTCAGCCATTGAACGGGAAAAAGCAGAAATCTTCTGGGGGGGGAAACACCGTGACGTGTTCGGAGGGGGGTTGGATTTTGTTCAAATGTACTTACGCAGATGCACTGTCACCATGGTAACCACATCCCACTGGCAAATCCAATTGAAAAAATCCAACTGTTGGTTGGTGATGTGTATAATTCCCATGGGACGGTGATGCGACTACACGCTAACACACCCTGGCGGTTTTTTTCTTGACTCTCAAAAAACCTACCTCGGGACCGCCATCACGTGAGTCCATGGGATAATTCTGGTGGTCCCGGTCCTTAGAGTGGGGGGGCGGATTTTGCCTAAGGGCCTCCTTCTCGGGCGGCACAGCCGCGGCAGCAGCGGCAGGCTTGCCCGAGTTGCTCCGAGGGACCCGGGGCTTTTTGGGCTCGTCATCGTAGTTGTGAACGCTCTGCCGCACCTCGGGCTGGTTGCGGATCATGTCGGCGTTTTTCGCCGAGGGCTGCTTCTTGGGCGAGGTGCTACTACAAGCGAAAGGGGAAGAATTGGGGGGCGTGGGCAAAGGAAAAGAGGAAGTTTGCAGGTGAGGTGAATCACCAAAAACAAGAAGGGAAAAAGAAATAAATATAAAGCGGGGGAAAACGTAACACCACAAGTAAAAAACAAAAACCCTTATTTTCCACAAAAAGGTAAGTTATGAACTTCGGATGGGAAGCACTTGGAAGAACTGAGCTGATTGGCTTATCGAGGTATGCATAAATGAATTTCATTATTTGGTACGTACTAAAAAGAAGGGGGAGAGAACAAAAAAAGGAAACAAAATCGAAAGAAACGGAAAGTACGTTCTATAAACTTTGGATGCCTTTTGTTTCACCTTGTACACGTGTAATCCAAACAACTGACCTGTTGCACACCTGTGCAATGTCACAATCTGTACAAATAGGGTGGAGTCAGATTTTATCAATTCTAAACTTGCCTTCTTAGTACTTGGATATGGTCACAGATGTGAAACTCACGGGTAACAGTTTCACAGCTCATCTGCATTGTGTCATCTATTTTCATTCATGTACACACGTACAGTATGTATTCTGTAACTGACTTTTGCGGGTTTTGGTTTTTTTTTTAATATGACCATACACATGTATACAGATATGGGAAAAAACAAACTGGGTTGATCTGTTAGGATTTTTTATTAATGTAAGAATTTTAAAAATTGAAAAAAAAATGGCGGGAAAAAGAAGAAATGCAGTGGACCATACACCACAAATACAATGTCACCAGCGAGGGAAAAAAAAGCATGCCTTTCAAGCACATTCACACCAATACACGTATTTCCATGAAATTGACCAGAACCCAAGCTCTGCAAATCTCTGTATTTAGATGCACATTCTTAAGGCATACTTGCACATGTAAATGTAACATCAGTGTTGAGGAAACACAGCTGTGCTGAGATTGACCGAATCAGGCCTAAGCCATTTTTCCCACAACCCTCATGGAAATGAAGAAGCCTTTTCGTCTGAATGAGCATAACATCGACCGTGGTGATACTTACCTATTTGAGGTCTTGTTATTATCAAAACAGAATATCTCTGGAAATGAAGAAGACGTTAAAGGAATTTCAAGGTTGATCTGACACAAATGACTTCAGTAAAAAAATAAATTACTTAACCCCTTGACGACGGAAACTTTTTCTGAAAGCCGACTCCAAGAATTCCAGCCTCGCTTGGCCACGAAGGCCACCTGCCAAACCGCAAATTCTCGGTGGGTGGCCCTGCGTACTCTGCATGCTTTGAATTACACGGTGAAAAGGCTGATTGTTCGGTGGCATGCGGCTCTACTCACGCTTCCACTTTTCCGTTGCCTCTTTTCAAAGTGGAGACTATTGTGAAGCTGGTGATTATGATGCAATGTCAGTCTTTTCATTTCTGGGTTACACGCAAAGGCCAATCACCATACACACAAGAGCCAGGGTCTGCCTTCTTTCACCGTGTTCGCTCGAGCGTAGGCCGAGAATAACAGCTGAAAAGCGGGCCGAGGATCTCAATTTTTACGGCGGCTTTTACCGTCATCCGTCGCGAAGGGGTTAAACACTACACGAAGCATGCCTGTGCAATCAGAAAGACAATCCTGTGATGTGTGCTTTCTGTGCCTAAACCTTTCCATTTGGCATGAACTACTTAAGAAAACCTCGCTGCAAGAACTCCAAACTGTTGCAACTTATCTCGTTTAGTCTTCCGCCACTCGTCATTCGCACCTGACGAGGGGCGGGAGGCGCCCGAAATTTCGTACTTCAGTTTCCCACAGGGAGATATGGCTTAAAGAGAGATACGTGTAAATAAGTTGTCAAGAGAAACCCTGTACAAGGCCTGGTACATCATAAAGTGTATCGAATTCTTGATTGTAGCGTTCGCTTGAAAAACATGCATCTTGCATGCACCAGGAACTTTGCCTGTTTAGTTTTAGTTCATTTCAGTCTTGTACCAAGACGCCCATCTACATGCATTAAGGCAGGTTTTGGTGGAAGTGAACCAATGAAGGATAACTGGTTGAGATTCGGACCTGTATGATACAAACAGGCCTGCAGAGTACCGATGAGTGATGTCACTGTGAACCAGACAGTGTAGTGCAAACAAATGGAGCATGCCCACGTGTTGGTTCTCACCATAATGCTATTTACACACATCATCGTAAGCGTGACGTATTCACTTTGGCACTCTATAATGTACAGGAGCATAAGCCCTTAGTGCATGTATGCACGGTGAAGTCGTTGTTCAGATCAGGCGTAGTATCCACTGAATGTTGAAGTACATGAACATGTACAAAGAATGCACAGTTGGGTTCCTATAGACGTTATTCATGGGGCCGGCCATATTGAATTTGAAAGCGAGGTTAACTCTTCCTTTTGAATGTTGAGAGTACAGAAGAAGCAATAAAATGAAATTTCATGACCAATGTCCGCCTGTCTACTCCCATGAATAATTATTAAATTCATGATTGAACATGCAGAATTGTACCTTGCCAGATTCCAAAAGTTATTGAAAGGGAGGCTCAGAACGCACAGAAGTATAAAACAGTCTGGTGACATCCTAATCGACAGTTTCCAATATATAACAGATTTGGGGGATAAGATCAAAAATGGCCTCCACGTGAATAAGGTCTATTGTCCACAGTCACATTCATGTACATGTGCATGAGCAAGTACATGTACATGTAAGGTACATGTACCTGTGACAAGCTACGGCATTGTAGTTGAGACCTCTTGAGACCAACACAAGACCTCCAGTCTGAATTCAAGTCACAGACTACCACACAAGCATGTTCACTTGCGACAACATGTAGTCGTTGTGACTGGTCTTGCGACTGGCCTCACCACTGGTCTTGCGAATGGTTTTGTGACCAGTCTTGGGACTAGTCTTGTGACTGCTCTTGTGTCCAGTCTTGTGACCAGTCTCGTGACAGGTCTTGTGCCTGGCTTTGTGACTGGGGACGTGATTGGTCTGTGACTGGTCTTGTGTCTGATCTTGTGACTTGTCTTATGACTGGTATGGTGACTGGCTTGCGACTGGTCTTATGACAGGTCCTGTACAAGTATTTTGTGACTGGTTATGTGACTGGTGTTATGATTGGTCTTGTGACTGGTCTTGCAAGTGGTCTCGCAACTGGCCTTGTGACTAGTCTTGTGACTGGTCTTAGGAATAGTGACTGGTCTTGACCACAACACTGTCCACCAAAATTTCAATGAGGGCCGAGGCGGTCGCACGACTCACTTTTCTTGAAGCAGATGATAATCCCGATGATGACAAAACAAACCACAACCAGGACGCCAACTGCGATGCCAATGATAGCTCCAGTGCCAAGGTCTTGCCCTGAAATAAATATGAGAGCGAAACAAAAAGGACGCTTGACTTTCAATAGACACAGGAATACCCACTACACCACATCCAGCTTCTATTCCATATCGACGCTGTCACCCTACACAAGGGCGAGTGCAGTTTTGCTACAATATGCATTCTGTCTCGTGTTCATTATTATTTCTATCACACGTTAGTGTACATTAGCCCTAACAGTCCTCAATCCTTCACCTGTTGGAGGACTGAGGACAGTTAGGGTTAACAAACTCTTTAAATTACAGGCTCACGTTACAATTTCATGTCATTGAATCTGTACATACACGTACGCATGTAACATCAGTATTCAACAATGACAATCAAATGTCTTCCAATTGCTATCACACATACATGTCAGTTGAGACGCAAAAGTGCCTGGAATTTCGATGCCAAAGCCAAGAGTCACGTTATGATCAACATGTAAGGATTTAGGCTATAGTATCTGTTCATTGACCAATCCTGAAGCTGGTTTGAAAGTGGACACTAATACATACATGTACATGTACGATGACTGAGGATGTCAAAAGCTCGGAAGTGTCATGTTAAGCCACTGCTTAATTAAGGTCATATCGAACAAAGGACCAGTTTTCATCAGCATCTCATCAAATATTCTTGCTGGTACACGTATCGTACATGTAGTTGACTTTGAATCATAACAATATATCAAAGCATTCATTAGGCACACAGTGACAGTACATCATACGGTACACTGTACACTAGACCTGTGCCAAATATCGCAATTTCCAAATATTCAATCGATTATCGAATAAGTGAATATCATTTTCCGAACTTGAACATTTGAATGCAAAATTCCTGAAAAGGGAGAATTCTTTTTTTTTTTTTTAACTGAGAAAAATTGCACTATGGCAGCTTGTTTTAAGCGACAGAAATCTAACATCGATTCAAAAAGTAAATCATTCATTAAAAAATTTGAATTTCAAGAAGTATTGTTTGTCTCTTAAATCTTGCTAAATCATGGCTGAAGATCCTCCAAAATGTGAGAAGCTATTCTGGTGATTATAATGCACAATTGTGTGTGTTATTGCAACTGATTTTTAAATGGTTTGTTCGTCCACAATCTGGCGGTCAGTACGACCGAATGTTTGGGTAATTATCGAATAGAAGGTCGAATATTCGAATAGTGAATTATTCAAATTGACTCAGCCCTACTGTACATTGTATCTGACAGTGTCTGGTAGAAAGATGCCAATAAGCCATCTGCTAGTTAAATTTGAATAAAATCTGGTACACTGAGTTATCTGATTGCACAGAAACGTGCCAATTTGAATTCCCCAGACTAAAGACACTGTTGCTATACCTCGTGATTTGGGCCAAGCTTTTACATAGTGACCACCATCTCTGGAATGGACTGGTTCCTGTGTGCCCTTCTTATCCATTGAGAAGAGTGTATTGTTGCTAGGAGTCTCTTATGTAACTAAGCAAAAGCTTGCCCCGAATCATCAGGTATAGCAACAGTGGATTTGGTATGGAGAATGCAGCGTGTTACGTTCACGTGAATTTAAAGAACTCAGTGTACCAGATTTTATTCAAATTGAACTCGCAAATGGCTTATTGATGTACATGGAGTATCTTTCTGTCTGCACAATGGACCCAAAACCCTCTGAACACTGCCAAACCATCTCAGCTTCCCGGGGAGAATAATAGCCTCATCCTACCATACAGGTATCAGGCACAAAGGGAAAATACAGGTAATACAATAACTATGTACATGTCTGCCCTCACAGGTACCCGTTTTAATACTCCTGGGTGGAGCGAGGCACGTAGGGGTAAAAATCACTTATCCAAGATCACAACACACCAGCACCCGCTGGATTCCAACCCCCTCCCCCCGACCTCATGATCGGAACTACCACATGTACGTGATGTACATGCACGTGTAGGCCACATGGCCCCGCTTTCCAACAATCCATGGTGAACATACATGTACAAACTGTACACAAATGTACATTGTACAGTTGTTGACAACTGTGATGTGGCATAACTTTTCAAGCTCAAGGGGCGCACAGCGCCAGAATCAGATGACGAGCGCTACACTTACCTAAGGATGTTTCATACCCAACATCACAACAGTCAACACATACATGTACATGAAATTGTAAAACAGCAACGTCCACATAAAACTATGATTATTTAACAGGAAGTGTTTTACTGTATGGGAACAAATCCCAGAATGTTGTTTTAGCCACGCTTTTTTCCCAAACGTTTTGGATATTGTGCAGTCTGAGACTGCCTTTTTCTTTGTCAATTTATAGGGGTTTCAATTCAAGAATGGCGAGGTTTTTTTTTTCCCCCACAAATATCGTCTGGTTCACCATGAAGTGACGTATAGGATAGTTTTGGTGTACCACAAAGTGACGTACCATCCACAGACTTCGTGCACACGATACATCAGTTTGTGGTGTGGCAACTACCCACGGAACGTCAATGCATGGTGCTACCGATGATAACGTGTACATGTGATTTAAACAAAGAAATTCTGCTTCCAACAGAGAAAACCTACATGTAGCAATTCAGCGATGTCTTCTTGTGACATCACAGTAACACTGCCCTCTTTTGTCAGGGAAAACTTCAATGTTTAAGTGCACAGGTTGTTCAAAAGGATTAGGCACACAGGAAAGTCTAGTAGTTTTCATGCATCTGAGAGAGGTTGACAGAGCGGCATACATTTAAACATGACCAGTAAGCATATACATGTACAACCAAATACAACTTGCATCCTCGACCCCATCAATTGTGTGAGAAAAGGCTGTATGCATCGGAAACAGTAATTGTTGCGCAGTCTCTGGACACAAGCAATGCCTGGACAGTAATGGAGACACACACATGTACATAAATGTACACCCAAGGGCGGATCCAGAACTCAATATTCGGGGGGGAGGGCATTTGAAAGCAAACATTGTGCAGTTTTTTATATAGAATCCATGTCATTTGAGATGAATGAGACTACATGTACATGTTGGTGATTTTCACCGGGTTCCTGCACCTACAGGAAATGAAATTCTGTGGCTTTTCCAGGACCAAATCATGGAAATCCATTACCCAGAAATACAATTTCTTGGACTTACTGTATTCAGACTGTTAAAATTGTGAATAACATCGTGCATTTTATGCACTCATTTCTGATCATGGAAATCATACACAAAATTCCATGACTCTGACAGGCCTGGAAATGATGTTTCTTGCCTCTCAAGGCCACAGGAACCATTTTTACATGTGCATTGTACATGTTTTTTTCAAAGGAGGGGAGTTGGGGAAGACTTTAAAAAGTTGCCTTTTTTGTGTGGGTTTTTTTTTTTTTTTTTTGCTCGGGGAAGGGGTCACTCCCAGATCTGTCCTTGATATCGTACATCTGCACAGGGTGCCTGCACCTAAAGGACCATTACATTCCATGATGTTTCCATGACTTTTTCATGACAAAATTATGAAAATCCATGACTCAATAACCCAATTTCTTGGACTTTTAGTGTTGCAAATAGAATTGTGAAGTTTGTTTCTGATAATAGAAATCACACCCAGTTTGAAAAAATCCATGACTTTTCCATGACTTCAGTCACTTTTACAAATTACAATGACTTTTCCAGGCCGCGGGAACCCTGTCTACAGATACATATATGTATGAAAGACATTTGTACAGAGGTTGGCAACGTGTTCCTCCAAATCAATGCCAAGAAAGTGGTTTGAAATTGACACATACACGTACATGTATGGTACATCTACACACTACAGATTAGAGCCACATAAGGTGTGCCGAAAACAATGTGTTACAGGGTGTGTCAAAAGGTACGGTACACTGGACAATGGAGGCACTGTGATGGTGGTCTCAAGCCTGATGAGCAGGGGTAATAACAACTGCCAATAGTCGGGCCCAATTCATGTGTTAATTCAATTCTGTTATTCATTAACTGCAACACACCAACGAGGCAACCACGCATCTGAACTACCACACCGAACACGTACATTTGGAGTTTGGTAGGGAAGGCTAGTAACTACAGTGTACATGTATGGGATGGAAATGTGGATAAGCCAGCTCAGACAGCAACGTTAGTTCAAGAACAGGTGATTAATTAATAGGAATAGTCAGTGGTTAGGCAGTGCTGTAAGGACACCATGCAGGATAACAGAACAAAGTAAGAAGCTGGAAACAAATCAGGAAGCCACTGAGAACAGCCAGAGAAAAATAACAGGGATAACAAAAATCAAAACTGAACCAACATTTGAAGGGTAGGGCTCTCTTCAAAATCAGACACGGTACCGGCAGATTTGCAAAGCAATGTGAGAAACCTTGTTTAAGTTCAATCAATACACGTATCAGTACATATACATGTTTAACTCTCTCAACAGTTTCAGGTGAAGCACTTTAAACCAATGGAGGAAACACAATTTCCCACCAGCGCTTGGAACTTGGAACCGTACCATATTTATTTGCACAGCCTTTTAGTACCGTCTGTTTATTCAAATGTTCTCCATCGCAGACAGTATACAGGGTCAACTGGAATAACATGTCAGGAAGCAAACTTTAACACGGAACAAAAAATACGGGGAAAAAAATAACATGTAGTTCCCGAGCTCTGATATTGTCATCACTTAATCTATTTTTGTTGTCTGCTTGGAATTGATGGGAAAACCAATACAGCTACCGGTATCTAGTAGTAGAAAAACAAGTGTACTGGTACATTTATTAACAAACTGTTTCCTTTGTCTCCACTGTAATTCATCCAAATCAACCGCGATCAAGTCGTTGTTACATGTGTATTTCCCATTCATGATAGCCAATAGTGTTAGCTTTTTGACACTCGAGTGTTCCTGGAAGAACTGCCAATTGGGGTTCGGGTTACGTCACTGAGAGGAAGCATGGGCTTGACCTTTGCACTTTGTTTGAAAGGTCTAATTTGGGACACTGATGTGATGATGGAGTGCATTCACTAGAGAGAAAAGTTTTACCATCCATGTCATCAGCTGACAAATGCTTTAAGTGGACGGTGGTTGCAGCTAAAATGTAGATGAGAAAAACTTGGTTTCCTGGTTTCTCATCTTGAATCCTTCTTTCCTTTTGGCCTTGTAAGTGCAAGGAAGTTCATGTGTGGTTGAAAAGGGGAATCTATGAATGTGAACTGCATGTACATTGTACCGGTGCATGATAATGAAATGGGTGCAATGTACCGGTACATGTACATCAATCAAGATCAATCATGATTTACATATACATGATACATCCCTCAAACACATGGATGGCACTACATGTACATGAACGTGTACATGTACATGAACGTGTACATGTACATGAACGTGTACATGTACATGAACGTGTACTGTATAAACTGTACACGTGTCTGCATGTTCATGTACATGTGTAAAATGTACATGTACATGTAGGGAACTATGATACATGTACATGAACACATTATGCCTGACTGCACATTTAAACTCAGTGAAGTAGTTCGGTGAACTTTTTTTCCCTAGTTTTATTTCAGCTTCACTTGCTACATGCATACTTACATTATGTACTGAATGCGAAAGTATTTGTTGAGGTTTGTTGAAGACCTTGCGTGGCTTTGACAGCAAGAGGCGAGTACAATGAGCATGCATGTGAGGAATGTGAGAAACAGAAAGAAGGAAATGAAGAGAAAAGGAAGCATACAGATGATTTTGAAACGAGGTAAAAGAAACTTTGACATGAACCGGGAAACTGCAGACAAAACAAACATGACACACAAACTGAAACAACCTTCTCTAAAATCAAATAATGACTGAGAGGTCAGAACACTTCAGGGCATCAATAGTTAGATCTTCAAGATCTTAAAATCACAGGGTTGGAAAAATTGAGTTTTAGAAATAGGTGAATTTTCTAAAAGCACACGAGTAGGACTACGGCGGAGGAAGGGACCAAACACATAGATTATATTTTCATTTTTTTATTTTATTTTTTTGGGCGGGGAAGGGTTGTTAATGTCCTTCTGGGGATTGAGTTGGATTGGGCTTAACTTTGTGGTTAACCACACTGGAGAATTTAATAAGGACTGTGGCTAGTAAGAGTTTCCAAAATATTACAAGTGGCAGTACCAGTCCAGCGAAGTAAAACTTGCCCTCTGTTTGTTGCCTTTCTCAGCTCTTCTGTTTCTCAAAAAAACCTGTAATTTTCTGTTCTCATTTGGTCATGAACCACATGTACATGTACACCAATATTAATCGGCACTGAAGTGCATGTATCAAAAAAGACATTAACATTTGGAATGCATTTACAATGTACATGTGACTAAGATGCCACGGAGGTTATGAGAAATGAAGCAACAATGGAACGGTGGTGTGCCAGTGGGCCATGTACAATGTGCATGGTGAGCTAGGAGCAATAATGGGTGAACCAAGGACGCAACCGCAAGCATGGAGTTCAACTAAAAATGGTTACTTATGAAAACCAAACCGGGGGGGGTTACAAATTCAAACAAATTAAATATTCAAAAATTAAACTCAGCAGTCGAGCTGCATAAATAAGAACACATACCGGGTACATGTACAAGTAAAACAAACGAAGACGAAACCAGACATACATGTAAGCGTTACTTAGCACGGCTTTCCCTCCCAAACCCCAAATATAGAGAAGGTGGTGGACATACCGGCCGATGGTGACTTGGTTGGAGGCGTCGATTTGGTTGCTGGTGTTGTCGTGGGCTCAACGTAGCCTAAAAATGAGACAATCACACGGGGGAAGGAGAAAAAAAAACAAGAGAGAGACGGAAGCGAGGCACATGATTATTCAAAAATCAAAGCATGCAGGGGGAGAGCTTATGGGTGATTGGAAGAGGTGAGTACCACATCGTTGGGAGACAGAGTAACAACGCAACAGTCTGGTTACAAATCGGGTACCAGTATATGAGGATTTGATTGACTCCACGAAATGTCAACCCGAAGGTCAAATTTGAAACCTTGTAGCATTGCATTTTCTCCTCATTTAGACACTCTGGATTCCAACTGTCGCCAAAAGGTCGAATATTGACAAACTCTGGCGGCAATGTATTACAACTGCTTGTAACGAGACCAGTTGCATAAAAAACAGGACATGCCGAGGGTGTCGTCAAGATTCTCGAGGGGGGACACTTTTTCCAGGGGCAGGGCAAAGGACTTTCCTCTGAATCCAGGGTGGGTGGAGAGGGGCAAGGCAAGCATCGGCCACAAACTGATCAAACCCATTGAACAGAGAATGATGGTCAATTTCAAAGTTTTTCCCAGTGAACTGGTGACTTACAGTACACGTATCGGTAAGTCCCCTTTTACTTTTCTTTTATTTCTTCCACTTTTTTTTTCCCTTTTTTTAATTATCATTTTTTCCCGGGGGAGGGGGTGAATTATGTGTCCCTCCTGCCCCCTCCCCACAAGATACAATGAACATGGTTACAGTACACGAGGGGCTCAAATGGATGAGACCACAGACACTGAACAAATGGAGTGCTGGTGTGGGTTCATAAGAAGTTCATATCCTGCTTCATGTAATCGCCTTCAACGATCAGGGAAGTTTGCCTGTGAAGATCTGTCTAAAGATTTCTATAAGGCCCAACTTTGCATATGAAGTCCAATAATCCAGCTTTTTTAGCATCGGACAAAAGGAGATTTTATCCAAGGCCATTTCCTCCTACATGTATATATATGTAGCATTCGTACATACATGTACATGTACCACATGACACTGTACATTCACTGCACAATGAGCAATTTCATGAACGTGGACAGCATGCCACAGTGCGCTGTGCTGAAAGTTAACCAGGGAAAGGGAAATTCTCTTTACACTTTTTCTCTTCCCAGGGACTTCATTTTTGTTTCGTACAATGTGAAAACAATTTACTAAGGTGTGGAAACAGTTTTCACACCTTTTCACACAAGTGAGCAAACACATGTATTTCGCACCTTAACTGGGGAATGCGAACGTGAATCTGAGGGCTTGTTCTTTACAGACAATTTTTTTCACTGGTGCAGTGTTAAAATTCAATTACAACGTATTGCATGTACTGTACAATGTGAAATGGCCTTGTACATTTCCTTCCTCTGACACAGTGAATCCAGGAGCCAAAATCGAACAACCTGCATAAATATCAAACTTTCTTTCTCAGCAAGAAAACGCCGCAGGCCAGTTGCAAGCAGTGCAATGCATAGCAAGTTCGGCTGGTGACCTGTTTTCACTTATTAAATGCTATTCTCTTCTCAAACAGTGGATGGATGACTACATGTTTTTTGAGCAAGCATGCGAAAAATGGCAACTTTTTGTCTTGCTACCTACGATTCGGCACTTGAGCAAGGCAGCACATTGATGATGATGAAAGAGTTCCATACAAGGACATCATACATGATGTGCACAAACTCTGAGACTCACAGGCTGGTCTAAAATATTCCAAGTGTTCCCAAAGTAAACACCAGTCCTCTACTTCAATACTTTCCCAGCTCAATTAGCCCATCATTTTCTGCTGGTTGACGGGCAAAAAATATCCCTTAGTGGAACTCTTCCCTTAAGCCCCCCCCCAAAGTCTCCAGTTACTAGTCAGGGGCCAGCTCCAAAAATGGTGCAGCGAGGAGGCTTTTTCTTCTTGCTCTCACTTTTTTTCCCTAGAAATGATTTAATAAAGTACAACATGCGATGTCCATCGCAAGTTCGCAACTGCATGCATATACTTACATGTACCGGTACATGTACACGTATGTACATGTACCTCCACTACCCACATTGAAATAGACTGGCCCCCTCACTCTTTACTGTTTTACAGCATTTTCAGCTTGCAGATCTACAAAGGACTTACGAACACCCTCGTTTGTCTGGTTCCCAGATGTAAGTTTATGTACAATGACGTCATCCGACATAGAGTGCCCGACTAAATGTATGAGGCCTAGAGGGACTCCTTTACTGTACAAATTACATGTACTCAACTGTGCATGTACCCCATCAAAAACATGTTAAATTACATGTATATACATGTAACAGGGGTAGTACCTACATGTACATGTAGATTCCAGTCGATTAAGCGAGTTTTAACAGCCTCATTTTTCTGATGCGCTGGTCTACTGTGACACGTGCACTGACCAGAAACTGGAGACTTTTGGAAGGGCCTTAATTGCTTACAATAAATTCCAGTGCCTCGTCAGCGCTACTGCATGTATACAATATATTTCATGGCAGGGAAACAGTGTCTTAGTCAAGACTATACGGTTTGTGTGACAAGACCAACACGAGACTTGTAACTTGAATTCAATTCACAAGCCTGAATTCAAGACACAAGCCTGAATTCAAGTCACAAGCCTGAATTCAAGTCACAAGCCTGAATTCAAGTCACAAGCCTGAATTCAAGTCACAAGCCTGAATTCAAGACACAAGCCTGAATTCAAGTCACAAGCCTGAATTCAATTCAAAAGCCTGAATTCAAGTCACAAGCCTGAATTCAAGTCACAAGCCTGAATTCAAGTCACAAGCCTGAATTCAAGTCACAAGCCTGAATTCAATTCAAAAGCATGAATTCAAGTCACAAGCCTGAATTCAATTCACAAGCCTGAATTCAATTCAAAAGCATGAATTCAAGTCACAAGCCTGAATTCAAGTCACAAGTTTTTCCAATGATGAATAAACTGAAACAAAAGTGCCTTTGTCTAGGCTCACGTAAGTTTCCTTGTTTGGACTACAGTTAACAGGTCTCATGACTGGTCTCCTGATGGTCTCGACCATAACACCGATGAGGTGAGATGTACATATGTACATGTAGCTTTTGATGTGCAGGACTGTCATCTGCATACATGTATTCCACATCACACCGGCAAGATGGATAGATTTACAATGTCATTTAGCCCAGCAAAACATAAACTAAATGTAGTTTCTCCTCCTTGCCTGCTCCCTGCTTTCATTCTCATCCATTTCCTCTTTCTTTGACATTTGCTCAAATTTGACATCAGATGTCTTTCTGGGGCTGCCCCCTCCTCTGATAAAAAACAGGCCCCCAAAATGGAGGAGAAACTACCGATATTCATGTCGTACTGGTCAGTGTATAAGTACAGGTGGTGTCGGGAAAGCAAATGAAAAGGCCTTTTGCCGCTGTGCAGAGCAGCGCTGTGAAGTTTTGCACGGGCACTGCAAACTCACTAAAGCCAAGGTGATTTTTGATAAGTTTGATCACCAAGGGCCCCAATGCGATCTACATGTACACACATGTACAGGTACATGTATGTACATGTATGTACATTGTGCATCAAGCACTTCAGTCTCATGTACATGTACTGATGAACAATTGTATTTACTGTACGGTACATGTACCAGTGCTATGCTCCAGAGACCTGATCTATTTTTTCCCAATACACACACAGGTAAACATACAGGTACATGTACCAGCAGGGTACCAGATGTACATGTATACATACATGTACATGCACCGTACATGTACATTTCCAGGTTACATGTTATACCAACCACATATGGCACATGTACTGTACATGCACATGTACATGTATGTTACCGGTACACTGCGTGAACCAACAGCAAAACTACATGTACTCTGTACATGTGCAGTACTGTCCATGACTTGCACAATATCATACAATGTAAATGTACACTGTATATATACCGGTACCCTGGCAGACGTACATTTCATGGACTCAGTAACCTGATATTTTCTGGGTTTTGGGGGGTTTTTGTTGATCAATTACAGCACCTGAGAACAATAATCAACTACTGGGATTACATGTACATGTACGAGTAATGAACACTTTGTACATGTACCAGTACATGTACAATGTACATGCATACCAGTACATGTACAATGTACATGTACGTGCATACCAGTACATGTGGGAACAGTAAGAAGGATGCATGATTTATAGACATAGCATCTACACTGTAGATGTATAATTTATTATAAAGACGTACGGTATATCCATGATCTACCGTACCCAACAATGATAACATCTAGACGCTGTACATGTAACATATCAATACATGTATGTGTTACTACATGTATAACATGGTACATTGTACATACATACTGTACAGTGCATTTATGTAATGAGAAAGCTGGCCAACATGTCCAAAGTCCTTCCTTGTCAAGCTGATTATACAAACATGTAGCAGTACCCATGGAGGAATAAAAAATGTGTCCTGCTGATAAGGGCTGAACTTGTTTGATGTGATCTGGGAAGCATTCTCCCTCACATGGTGAGCTTTGTCAGTGGGATGGATACCGGTATCAACTTCCAATTGATCTGGACATTGTCCTGTTTTCAAAACTCTTGAATTTATGATTCTAGACAAAAAGTTAGATTCATTGCCGTAGACAACCTCCGTGTAGAATCATAAATGGACCAGATCTGAAAATAAAGAGCGTGCCCATTTAATTTGAACTTTACCGGTACATGCACCCATGGACCCTCCACTGCACTACCCCTGGTATAACTGACAAAGCTTATCATGTCAGGGGGTTCTGTAGATCACATCACACATGTTCATGTACATGTACATGTACGTTGTACATGTCCTACAGCACATTACAGCTCTGAACTGCATGTACTGTACATACACATATACCAGTACATGGAATACCACCCAACCATTTGCTGTTCCAACACATCCAATGTACATATACTCATGCATGTACATACATGTACCTACATGTACATGCACCGGTACATGTTCTTTCAATGGGGGCTGTGCACCAAGACT